AATAGACATATAAAAAGTTGCTCAACATCACTAATCATCAGAGAAATGCAAATTAAAGCCACAATGAGATATCACTTCATATGTGTCAGAATGGCTATAATCAATAAATCAATAAACAACAAGTGCTAATGAGAATGTGGAGAAATGGGAACCATCATTCGCTATTAGTGGGAATGCAGAATGGTGCAGCTACTGTAAAAAGTAGTATGGAATTCCCCCCCAAAACTAAAAAATGGAACTGCCTTATGACCCAGCAATTCCACTTCTGGGAAGATATCTGAAGAAACTCAAAATACTGATTAGAAAGAACATACACATTCCTATGTTCATTGCAGCATTACTCACATTAGTCAAGATTTGGAAGTAGCCCAAGTGCCCATCAGTAGATTAAAAAGCTGTAGTATATTTACACAATAAAATACTACTTGGTCAGAAAAAAGAATGAAATCTTACCCTTTGCAACAGCATGGATGGACCCAGAGAGTATCATGCTAAGTGAAATAAGCCAGAGAAAGACAAGTACCATATAATTTCATTCATATGTGGAATCTAATCAACAAAACAAATGAACAAGCAAAATAGAAACAGACTCATGGATACAGAGAACAGACTGACAGCTGTCGGGGGGAGGGTGATTAGGGGCTAGGTGAAAAAAGTGAAGGGATTAAGGAAATTAAATACATTTTTAAAAATAAAAATAAATAAAAGAATACTCTGCTGAACATAGTGTGTGGAACACTGGTAGCTCCTTTGAAATATTATTATAATGCCATTTACTGAGGGTGCGTGGTGGCAAATATTGTTTGCAGGTAGAAAGAAAAAGCACTGTATGATTTAAAAGAATCATAGTCCAGATGATCCTACTGCAGCCAAGACTGAGAGTCACTGAAAATTTTCTGCCTCTTCAACTCCTACTACTACTTACCTAAAATCTCCCCAACAGAGATGGGTATTTTACCACTATAGCATATTAGAAATTCGTTTCTAACTTGTTGTCTGTCAACAATGATTAAATTCCACTCGGGTGTTTTAAAACTGCTAATATTTATTGACTACTTAGGGTATAGTAGGCCTGGTAATAAGCTCTTTGCTCCTGTACTGTTTTTGTTTTGTTTCATTTCTATGCTTTAAATAATTTTCCCTCAAAGAGAGATCCTGTATTTTCTAGAATCAACATTGTTTTCTAATTTGTGATTACTATATATTACATTTTATTTCATTTCTACTGGTTAGAACCCCAAGTCAGTAAGAGAGAGGGAGAGCAAGAAGGCAATAGGGGACCTTACAGATAAAAATATTCTGAACTACTTGAACACATTACACTTAGGTCTTGATTCTCTGTGAATCTTGGCTGAGATTCTCTGGAAATACACAAATATTCAGTTATTCCAAGAGAAAAATTCCAAGAACATGTATGACTCAATTTTAAGGCAGTTAATTTTCCTTTTGCTCTTGATTAGTGTGCTTCTTTCATTTTCAACAACAAAAAAAATGCCACTATTTTCCCCAAAAGTAACTTCCTTTGGAACAGATTCTAATACCAGTAACAGCGATGATATGAATTGTTTCAGGTAAAGGGGTTCTAGCTGAGGGAATTTAGAAGTGTATGCAAGTATTCAATTATTTTTACCTGCATCACAGCTGAGGCTAACGCTCCCGCTCCAGGCTCTCTGCTCACTCTCCACGAGATGGCACTGTTCTGCGCAGCCAAACAACTCTACCGTGTGGATGGTGTTTTTGTAATTAATGTTAAGAATGTTTCTTACATCTTTGGGTCCTTAAATACCATCTGATTCAAGTTTCATGAGATCTGAGAGCCACCAGGAGCTCTGTCTTTAACTTTTAGACCTGCGGTCCAGTGAGGTGTCTAATAAATGAAGTTAATAATGTTGACTCGATAGATGAATTGTAACGCCGCCAGGGAACCTGAAGCTCAAACAACTCTAAAACTTAAGCAAGGCAAGTGTCACACCGTCTTCCTTTGCCATCTAAGACTCCCTCAATATTTCACTTTCTTTTCCCTACTTTTCTACCAGTTTCACAAGAACTGAGTTCACCCTAACGAAGTATAATGGTCCATCTCCTCACTCACCTATTTTCCTTCTTAAATGGGCAAAACTACCAATCTACCAATTGGTAGTATCCAATACTACCATAAGACACAGAATTTGTTATAACAAAATACGATTATGGGAGGTATCAATTAATAAAGTTGAGTCCATGTAAATTCTATGATATATGTTCCCAGGGAAAGGAATTCCTGGGCAGTTATTTAAGACTGATAAACTCTTTATGGGAAGGGACCTTGCTGGCGAGAGGGCGGGGTGAGAAAGCACTGCAGTGAGGTCAGAGCTCAACCCGGGCCAACTTGCTGACTGCACCTACGTCTCTCTGCCTCTCTGTGCTTTAGTTTCCTCGCCCTCCAACGAGGAGGTGGTGCGGAGTGATCTCCAGGGGCCCTCCTAGCTGGGACACCATTGCATCTCTCCGTCTTCCTTAGTATTATGGCTCATTAACAATCATGTAAATGCTACAGGGCCAAGCAGGGAGTTCTACACAGAGGCTTACCTAGTTTAATTGCTGTTCACTTTATTGCATTTCACAGATGTGTGGGTTTTTTTTACAAATGGAAGGCTAGGCTCTCCACCAGCAGAAAGGTTACACCTTGCTTTATTGCAGTACTCAAGTATTAAGGCCTTGCCTTCAACTGGTAAAACAAACAAACAAACATTCCCCCACCCCCCAAAAAAAGCCCCACCATCAACAATACAACATCTGTGAAGAGCAATAAAGCAAACAGTAATAAAACCTGGTATGAAGGTAGGATCTAAACAAAGTTGATCCAACCTATTCACCTGCCTTGGAAATTACCAAACATCACTATGGCCAGGTTGACTCCCACCAACCACCTGAGTCAATACAATTGAAAAAGACCGGCTCAGGTGGGTCCAGGTCCTTGTGCTCCTGGACTTGCACCTGATGAAAGCACTAGAAATTAACTTTGTGACACCAGAATGAGAAGCCACAATTCAGAAATCATAAAAACACTCCATAAATCAAAATCATTATCTGTTAAATAACTAACTTAATTCTGGGCTGAGCTTTGGTTATTGAAATAATTTAGAAAAACTAATAAATACATAATCCATACCAGCTTATAACCATAAAGGGAGCTTTAAAATCCATTTTCAATACAAAGAGATAATTTATCTGTGCTTTATTCCCAAACAATAATACCCAAACACTGAAGTAAAACAGTTATCCATTTACCTATTGGTGACCAACAACAGAACTTTAGTGCTTTCAAGCACCAGGCCATTTTTATCCTTATTTTAAACAGCTAAACTAAGACTTCTGCTATCAGAAGAAGCAATCTGCTGCTAGGGTCTGCTTGGATTCCGAGCACCTGCTTCCTCTGGTCTGGAGGCAGATGGTACATCATAAAAATACAAGTCAGGGGGAATATACACAGAAAGATATTCCCTTTAAAACCCTTTAGGAGAAGGCTCTTTTTCCTAAAATCTAATACTGTAAATATACATGTTTATGTTGCTATCTTAGCTCAGAATTTGGGAACTGATGCAGGGACATTAAAAAAGTTTCCTTAGCCTGATTCATATGCACGTGCTCACATATTTCCATAGGATGGGAAAACAGCCTTTACTTTAGCTTATTAGCACCTAAGGCAGGACAGTTTGTTCTTGGAACTCTCACAAGAATCCTGAACAGCAGCAGCTGCTGTTCTAACCTACAACCCAACCTCAACTCCACCAAGTCCTTTTATAGTAACCAAGACACTACTTAGTGGGTGCGAGTCAGCTGGAGCTGCTCTAACAGAGGACCACAGGCTTGGTGGCTTAAACAACAGGAATTTATATCTTACAGTTCTGGAGTCTAGCACGTTCAAGATCAAGGTGCTGGCTGATTCAGTTCTTCTATAAGTGTTCTCTTCCTTGCTTGCTCTCTCGCTGTGTCCTTATATGTACAGAGAGCAAGCTTCTGGTCTCTCTTCCTCTTTTCATAAGAACATGAATTCCCGCATGGGGACCACACCTCATGGTCTCATCTAACCCTAATTACCTCACAAAGGCCCCTTCTCCAAATAGCATCCCATTGTGGGATTAAGGGCTTCAACATGTGAATTTTGGAGGGGGCACAACATTCTGTCCATAACAACGAGATGTTTCCTATATGTCTTTGTTGGCTTGAATAGATGAGCTAAGCTGTAATAAGTTGGCCTTAATATGCTTTTCCACAATAATTATGTAGAGTGGTGCTTCTCAAACTTTAGGTGCATCAGAATCTCCTGCAGCTTGGTAAAAGAGATTTCTTGGCCTGACCCCCAGAGATTCTGATTTAGTAGGTCTGGGGTAGAACCTGAGAAAATGCATTTCTAACAAGCTCCCAGATGATGCTGACATGACCTGTCTGAGAGCTGCACTTGGAAAACCACTGATGTATGAGTTCCCTTTAGAATGTTGATATCAGTGCTGATTCTTTGGGCCTGTATTGACTTCCAGTAAATACCTATTTTATACCGAATGCATTCGGAATGTGTCATTTGCTTAAACTCAGGTGCTGCGGTTACATACAAAGATGCTCAACAAACAGATGGAAGTTCTGCTGAGGCAAGGCTGCTCTGTGCTGTGAGCACCCAAGGAGAGTCATTGATGCAAATGTCTGACTAGCTGACATGTGGCTTCGCAAGGCACCAAATACGTCTGCTGACCTCTTATCCTTACTTATTTTTACCTCAGAACGTAGATTTTGTCTTTAAAGTTGCTGGGTTCAGCTATATTACCTCTATGAGCACACTGCAAAAGGTTGAACAGATAGCAAATTTTTGACAAAGCGCACTGTGGAGCACTTGAGCAATGCTTGGCATTTCTGTTCAACTCCTTTGTCCTATAATCACACGGCTACATTTCAAAGCAAGGCTCTGTCATGAAACAGGACAATTTTAAGATTTACTTCAAGTACACTTTGGAATGTAAACATACCTTATTTAGCTTTACAAAATATTCCAGGCCAGCTTCCAAGGGATTTGTATCACAGTTCATCTAAAAGGGAAGCAAACATTTTAAATCTTAGATGAGTACAAATCATTTCAGTAACTTTCATGTATTATTTTTTTTGAAAGAATACTTTTTGACTTTGAATATAAATTGTGAAAAAAAGAAAATCATGGATGGGTCTTTAAAGTGATTTTTTAAATCTAAAATTTAAATGTATCCTTTTAGTTATTATTTCAATAGCAAATTAGAAACTAAAATTCACAGTTTGTGTCCATGACTTTTATTATAATAAATACCTGAGAAATACCACATGATATTCCTTCCAGAAACAAGACTTTCATATGTTTTTATGTAATAATTTTGTGTAATTAGGTTTTGAAAACTTATGAAGTAATTTACTTATCTTACAATTAGCCAGGAATCAGGATAAGTAAAGGAGAAAGTAGACGGTAGGAAAATGACTTCTACAGAGTTCAGGAACAGAGAAAAGACAAAAAGAGAGGTTGAATCTCAATCTTTTCAAATACAGGTGAGTTATGAAAATATACTTCAAATCAGAACTAAAGACACTACTTGGGATTAGACTTCAAGTTAATGGTTTTTGTTTGTTTTGTTGTTATTGGTCTCCTTTGCTCCAAGAGACCTTGTCTAAACCCCATAAAGAGTAGCCAAACTTCTTTAAAAAGGCAACACAGCAATAGTATAACCAGATGAGTAATATAAACTTGTTTCACATAATATAAAATTTGGTTTCATATATTCTAATTAATTTGAGCAACCCTAAAATTATTTTGTATCTGCTCAAGGTTTCAGAATTTCTCCAGGAAAAAAATTAAAACAAAGCCCAGAAGATTGATTGCTGTAATAGCACTAGAGGGCGTGCTGGCACTGCTGGGAGACCAAGGGATCTGGGATGGGAACAGCTCTTCAGAGGACTGCTTCCTGAGAAGGAGGCACCAGATACACAAAAAGGCAGGAGGGTGCAGAAATGCCTAACTCCAAAGGTTGCTTCTGCTGCTTCATTCCCTGGGGCACAGAGTGGGGACAGAACTTTCTCTGTTTCCCTCCCTGCTGCAACCTTATCTGAAGGCTGGGAATCCCTTAACAGAGCCTCTCCCCTGCAAAATGACAACCTGCCCCAGGGCCCTCGCTCTTACACTGGTGCCCGGAGGCTGCCCTCTCTACCTCAAAGTCCACTTGCTCCTGCCTATAGTTTAAAGGCCCAAGGGGCCCTGCGTCTGCTTTCAAACTCACTCTGCTCTCCAGTTAAATTCATCCTACTATTCATTAGGCACTTTGTAGTCTATCTAATATCTATAGCTCTGTTGGAAAAAGATTGTCTCTATTTTACAGGAGAGTAAGCAGGGGCTTTGGAGAGTTAAGGTCGCACCTATGCAGTAGAGGATGAACTCAAACCCAAGAGACCCCACCACAGTCCATCCTTCACCACTATCACTCATCTCACCTCTCAAGCCTAAAACCTCAAAGTCTTCTAAGAAAAAACAAGGAATCTGAAAAAGCTAAGGGGTCCAGAAATAGCCTGCTACATGGGAGATCAAATAGGAGAACAGAGTTTGAGCCACAGTTTGGCCACTTCACATAACCTGGACCAAGCTGTTCACTGTTTCTGAGTATGATTGTGGGCAGAATTCGGATAATGTAGACACCCTGACTCCCAACCTCTTGTCCCAGAATCACCAACAATTGGAGAGCTGAGAAGGTAAGGGAAATCACCATATGAAACAGTGTGTAACTAGACAAACAGAAATCCTTCGTCCCCATTATTAATGGTAGACGTAGGCTAGACCACACATCCTGGACCATCAACTGGGCTCCTTGGAAAGATGCCTTTTGTTGTTATTTCCCCCAAAAGGAACATGGAAGAAGAAAATGAGAATGGGAAAAATGACAGAGGAGGAAGAATTTGAAAGGTGGGGGAGGGGGATAGGCTCCCTCGGAGCAGTCACAGCCCACACACAGTCAGAGATGGGCGTCCAGGGCTCTCGGCCAACAGGAAGGATTAGCCAGAACAACCATTATGTCATCATTCCGCTACACTTGCAACTGAGAAACTGAAAAGAGAAACCTCTGCCTTAATTAAATGAAGTTATTTAATAACACGTAATTTCTCTTACAGTCAGAACCAATGTTAAGGCAGTAAAAACTACCCCTTATAAAAATAAAGAATGAAAAAAAAACAAGCCCTCATATAAAAATCAGACACAATAAACAAAATTGTAATGAAGATGCTAGCATTTCAAACCTCTGATCCCCAGGCTCTGAAAGCTTTCTCCAGCCTTAAGGCATTCATGGCATATGTTCCAAAATTGTCAATTCCCTCCTCCTGGCCTGCATCCATGATGATGCTATACAGTGCTGCAGAATCTTCTCGCCTGTGGTACAGCTCCCAACCCAGCTCACCTAAAATAAACCCACAAGTGCCACATCAGATAGGAACAGTGGCCACTAGGTTTAACACACATTAGCTAAAAACCATAAATAGATGGAGAGATTTCACTTATGCAACATAGACATTGCTGAATTTTAAAAGGCCAGTTCACTTAAGAAAAAAACAACAACAACAGTTGCAACAAAAACCCACTGCAAAGAAACCTGCCATATCAGAGATGCGTCAGTGCCCAATCCTGTCTCTCACACAGAGGGCGGTGTTCTAGGACCCCTCTTCACATGACATGGAGAGACTAGAATGCAGCAGTTAATCTTGACCCTGGACCTCAGCTTCATAATGTTGGGTAATTAGCATGGCATAGTTTATCCAGCTGCCTCTTAATCACAAGGTTTAAAAAATAAGCAATTATCATTTGTTCAAATGGTCTTAATTGTGGTCTTCATAGTCTCTAATTCCCCCTACTCCGTACCCTATCTTCCCCACTTGGTCATTTATTTCACCATTTGAGCTGTAGGCACAAGTGGAGGAAATGAAACCCAACCCAGTCTGCTTATTTTTTAACCTGCTTGTGCCTTGTTCCGGTCACCATTTGGCCAAGGTTAGCAGGGAGGGGGTTGAGGAAAGGTACATGGACTCCAGGGAAGGTCGATGGGCTTTATACTGTGTGTTCCAATGGTCCCCCAGTGTCCAGGGCTGGTGGAAATACGTTTTTCCAGGACGGCACCATAACATGGGCAGCAGGTAGCTGAACAAGTGCCTGGGCACCAAGTACTCCTGGGAAGGGACAAGGTGGTCTGGAGGAAGTTAGAAGTAAACCCAGAGCTCAGTGGAAAGCTAAAGAGCATGCATTCAACTCTGTTTTGAATACCTACTATGTGCAAGATCAGGTGCTATATGAAGACTTCCCTAATGCACTTACAGTCTAGAAAGCAAGCTAGAGAGCAGGAATGCTGTAAGACAGGTGCCTGATATATTCAAGATGGGAGACGGCCTATGGGAGGTGATCTTGAATGTTCTCAGGTGGAGTCGGCTGGCCCAAATATCATGCCAACCCTTCCTATATTCCAGCAGCTGTCACCTCCTCTTCTCCTACCTACCCTTGCAGATGGTAGGCAGCTATAGCACAATTGAAAATCTCTGGAATAACTTTCTCAGACTAAAAAGTGAATAGACTAAATTTTTATAAAAATTGGGCAGGAGAAAATTTCCTCCAAAATTATACTGATGAAAGAGAGAGGGGGTGGGTGGGTGGAGAGGTGAGGGAAGTACATTTCGGGTAGCCTCGTTTAAACTTTAGAGACTCTAGGTTATTTTCTGATTCTTACCAGTGTAAGATATCCTAATAGCAGTGACAGGAATGTTGGAAATCTTTAAAGATTTGGTTTGAAGAAACTTGAAAACGTCATCACTAAGATCTTCAGAGGTCAGCTTCTGAAGGACCTTTCTTGCATGTGGCCCTGCAACTCCAAGAACTCCAAGCTCATCGGTTATATTTTTAATTTCAACGTTGTATCCACCTTTGGCTGCCTCTTCTTCAATCCATCTGCATTTGAGTCATAAACGTTGTGTTAAATTTTGCTTGAATAATGCATGTTATAACATATTATTTCCCTGAAGATGTACTCTGTGTTTAGAATTACCAGAAAGTCCCCAGAATGTTGTTTCATATAATCACCTAATTTTCAAATTTGAAGAAACTGAGTCCCAGAGATGTTAAGTGACTCTTTATAAACCACCCCCTTTTATAAACTTGGGGTAGTTTTTCACAGCATAGAAGGATCCTTCAATTTAAACAAGATCTGCCACACAATTATTTTAAATAGTGACAGCCCTATTGCATTTAAAATAATGACTTAGTCTTCAAAAATTAATTTAAACCCAAATTTTCTCTGATGCCCGTATGCAGAAGGCACATCCATGCTGCCGAAAGCTTAACAATGTGCCTGCCAGCAGACACAGAATTGCTTTGACAATCACAAGGAAAATATAAAAACTCTAAAGAATAGTTTAAATTTCTGTCTTGATGCATAATTGGGACCCGGTTATAGAGTTTGTTGATGGTTTGTTGAGCAGTCCCTAGAACTACACGAGTCTATCACAAAACAATCATCTGGGTTTACTCACAGCTAAGCTACTAAAATGGCTCCCAATACATCTTGCATTGGAGGATATAATTTGCATAATTTTACAACTATAGTAAGAATCTACCTGTCAGAGTCAAGATTTCTCCTGCCCAACTTTTATGGCAATTCTGTCTATTCACTCCTAGCCTGACACTTGTTAAACAATAATATTCCAAATATTTTTGGAATACTAGACGAGAGACTACAGATTTTACAGTAGACTAAACAGCAGACTGAAGATTGATGCGAAGGATCGACTGGGCAGGTCGACGGTTTGGATCCAGCTGCGAGCAGAGAGCACGAAGCACGAACAAGGGGGAAGGTTACCGACTGTGAGCGTCAGAGTCAGAAAGACTGGCTTCAGCACATTCTGTGATCCAAACCGCAGTTTTCTCACCTGAACACCGGAATGGTGAATACTATGTGAATATATATCCATTAAGAGAATTAATTAAGATAATATATAAAAAGAATTCTGACACATTGATGATGCCTAATAAATGGGAATCGACATTATTGGAATCAGTACACCTTATAGAAGGATTACCTTTTGGAGGGGGGCAGGGACAGGGTCCCCCACTTTAAATAATTTCCTGTAATGATGTGAGGTTTATTTGAAACAGTAAGGTTTAAGAATGAAAGTTACACTTTCAACTACTGGTAAAAGGAAAACTCAGCTTAAGATTGAGTCAATGTTTAATCCATATGAAATTCTCTCACTGGGTGTGCACTCACCTAAGATCATGAAGTTCTGATCCAGAACCAGTTATTAACAGAAATTCCCCAGGAGACTGGTGAGAAACAGTCAATTCAGCGTACACTCGGCCTTTTGGGGTTAACATGTGACTTATATTTGTAAAACCCACCTACACAAAAGAATTTAAAATGACCTCAGGATGAAACAAAAATCTTACGTATCCCTCTAAAACAACATGGGTATAAAAATGTGGGTGTCAACAACGCAAAACATCTGAATCTTATCACTTATACTAATTGTATGAATTATTTGTAAACCTAAGCCCAAGATAAATTTTGAAGTTCTCAGTTTACATTACAATTATTTGTCATAAAAATTGTACCTCAGTCAACGTTTTAACTCCCACTGACACAATTAAGCAAAGTCATAGGGTCCTTGGATGATAATTCATTCAACAAAATTTAAATTTAAAAATTAGCTACAATACTCTTGACTAATTGAAGAGCTCTAGTGTTCATACAGAAATCATTAGGTGGACTAAAATAACATATTGGGGTTTTGTTTTGTCTTTAATGATAGGAGAGTTAAGCAGACCACGATCTGAACCTTGTACCATTCTAAGGTTATTTACCTTTGGAATGACATTCGCAAAGAGATGGTCCAACAGTCTGATAGAATCCTGGCCTTTGATGTCAAACTTGCCAAACGGCGACAGGTCAATCACCCCTACTCTTTGCATAACTTGTTGATACTCAGAGCCCACAGGCTCAAACCAGTTTGTGCGGCGAAAACTTGGCCTGAAACACAGTTTGTGATAAAACAACTGTCATTCATTTTCAGAAAATTACAGAATAAGGATATTTTAATAAACCCCATTCATCTTGTAAATCCCATGTGGAAAAAGAATACAACCTAAAATTCTGGTCTGTAAATTACATGTATATGTTGGAATCTGATTTTTTAAAGTTACTCATATGTCCCTTTGACCAATTTCATAGTGAATAAAGTATTTGTTAACTAGAAAATAAGATAGCAGTTGTGGGCTCTCAGATCTGGAAGAGAGCTTAGAAGCCAGCCAGTCCTGGGGTTTTGAACCTGATTGCATATGAGAGCCCCCTAAGGAGCAGTTAGAAGGAGCAGTTTTTCGGATCTAATTAAATCAGAATGTGTGGGGGCGGAGCTGTGCTGCCCAGTGCTTTTCAGACATGAATAAAAACACAAATCACCTGCACTTGTTAAAATACAGACTCTGGTGCAGCGGGTCTGGGGTGGGGCCCCGATTCTGCATTTTAGCAGGCTCTACACCTGGGCTAAGTGAGGATCTGATCCAACATCTTCATTTTTTAGAAAAAAGACACGAAGTGACTCCCAAGGACCTTGTGTTATTGAATGACAGAGCTGAACCTGGAGCAAAGGCCTCCTGATACATTGCGCAGGATCCCTTCTATTTTACGAAGTGGACTTTCTAATGTGGTATTTTAACTTCAGAGTAAGCTGCTAAGTCTGCAAAATGAGTTTTCAGTAGTTTAATTATTAAAATAGCAAAAGAAATAGGCCAGATCCAAACAGCACAAGGTGAAGAATAGATCTGGCATTTATACAAGTCATTTAGGAAAAGCCAAGCCAGTATTTTGCCCCAGACAATAGAGATTGGCTGCCTGGGGAGCCCCAATTCATTAATCAACGACTGGCCTTCTGTTGTATTTTGCACTATTTAGATCTGGTCTTAAAGTAGACATCAAAACCTGTTTAAATAAGCAAAATGACAAGTTAAAAAATAACTTAATTTCTAGATTTGCTATGTGTTTTCTTTTGTCTTATAAACTCTCATTGGGAAAAATATATAATCACTATTAATTCCAAGTATAATCAGGGCATGTAATCCAAGTAAAACAATGGCAACAACATTAGAGGAAATCACAGAATTGTTCTAGTGACATTCTTTATGTTTTAGCTTAACCTCAAGTGCTAAGTAAATGATATTCTCCCCTAACTTATTGACAGTGCATTAATTTGCATGACTCAGTGTGTACACAGTAGGAAGTTGTTGCTTTGAGCTATTCCTTGATAAATAGAAGCCCTATGTATCCATTGTGTTTTCATACTGTGTGATTCAACCAGGCATCCTAGGCCAGAACAAAACTTCAGGAGCAAGTGAAGGTGTGTGGGGATTTTGGACAGTGTGGGAAGTTTCCTCTGAGCTCCTGGAAAATGCCAAACAGAGGCTTCGCCAGGGCTGGCTGTAGGACTCTTGAAGCCAAATGGGTCCTAGATGTAGGCCAGTGTCATGTGGGATAGACTGATGCTTCCACTGTTAGAAAATAAATTTTGTAGGAATGGGGTGGAGTGACAGGGTCAGTGGGGAGAAATGGCACTGGTGTCCCTCTGATGTCCCTCCAACCTACCTCTGAAATTTCAGTGGGCAGTGAGAGCCACAGGCAGGTTAAGTCATTTGCTTACCTGTACGCGGTGTCCTGGCCCGGCTTGTAAAACCAGTGTGGCTGTTCCCAGCCTGCGTGGAACCCCATGGAACATTTCGACTCCAGGGTTTTATAAAGCCCACTGACTCGCTGAGTCGGCCTCCCAGCAAATCGTTCTTCTTTAGGGTACCCAACTGAAAAAGGAAAATGAGTGCTTTATATAGCATATAACCAAAGCCATAACATACTTTGAAGGGACTCACAAAATGGAAAACAGTGCTTACAATCCAGAAGCATATAAATGTAGTAAATTTATGTTAAAAATACCCTAAAAGCTGCCATTTTTATTTTGATCATCAACGGGTAAAGTAAAAATAAATTTAGAACTGAACATCACTGATGCACTCCACACATTAAATATGTACATCAATACAGATTCCTTGTTGCATCTTAGAGGCACAAGGCTTTAATGCCTAGCTACTCCCACCCAAGTGCACAGAATAAAAAGCATCTAAAGTCAGAGGCGCTGTAAGGCAGCCTGTACACACTCTGTGGACAAGAGTAGTTTGCACTTCACCAATATTGTTGAATCCATATGACTCTCTTGCTTTGGCCTCAGTGTACTGAGTGGTTGTCCATTTGCCGTAGCGATTGGGATCCAGTTCTATCAGATCAAAAGGAGGCTCTCCATGCAGGATCCAGTCACTGAGATACTTCCCTACCCCACCAGCATGAATTATGCCGTATCTTTAAAATACAGAAATAAATGCACTGTTACTAACACATGTTATTTTCAAACAACAAAACATGTCCAAATATTTCACAGGGCCTTAAAATCAGGGTGTTCTGTGCTATTCGGAGCACATAGTCTATGTAATCTTTATGCTATAATTTTTTCCTCAAAAAGAAAACATATTTAGGTATCCAAATTAAATGTGCCCGACTTTATAACTAGTTTGTTTACACAGTTTCAAGAACTGCATGCTGGCAAAGTAGCTTACCACGCTTACTTAGCTAGTAACTATGCTCACTTTGGGAAAATGGGGTGGAGGAAGCAACAGGCAGATGTAGCTGGCACCTTGTTGACATACCCTTTGATCTGTGATTATCCTGATAGGAAATTTGCAGGAAAAGTACGTACACTGTGGAGTAGTATGCTCATTTCTTCTCTGACTCAGTTTAGTTCTGTGCAGGGATCCTGGGCCATCATCTTAGAAGCATTCAGACAAGAGGCACTCGCCCCGAAACTTGTGGGGCGGAGGTGGAAAAGAGCACTGGCCCCTGTATTTTGTAACTAAAAGGTCACTTAGTGTAGACGATGGCTTGTTTTCTATTTCCATATGAAGATGCTTTAAACAAAGAACATGACTGCGGCAAATATGTGATAGAGGTGGAGGTGCCATAATTTAATGTTAGCTACGTGCTGTTCTTCCCACACACTCGTGTCTAATGAAGGCCTTTGTCATGGGTTTATTTGTGGTTTAAGAGAGGCTTCTGAGGAAGCCTCTCTTGGATGAGCATTAAGTTATGGGGGGAGGACCAAGAAAAGCAGCTACGTGAGCAGACCTCTAAATGCAAGAAATCCCAGTACCCCAAATAACAGCAACTTAATAGCCAGACACACAGTTCTAAGTGCTTGGGAGGACCTTAGCAGAAACTGGGGATGTTCACTAACTTTTCCCACCCAAGATGCCAGTTTTGCTTTTTTATAAAAATGAATGTCTAAGTTTGTTATAAGGCTATTTCTCAAGCAGAATAAAAAAGCAGCAATTAATAATTCCTTTGATATTTAAAAGAGAAACACAGGTCATCCAAATTATACACAAACAGTCTCACTAAATTTCAAGAAAGCAAGAAAAATTATTACATATATACTTAAAATAATTATGAAATATATACTTAAAATGTTTATTAACTCATCCAGGCCCAATGTATGAGACAATAGTTGCCATTTTTGAGACCTAGAGATACTGTTTACAGGACTAGAAACTATAAAATTTTACTGGCTTATTGAAAGTGCTTACGGTGATCTAGGCATTGTTTCCATCTGACATGTGCCAGCTGATTATATCTGTAGCAAGTCTATTTTACTAATGAAAAAACCAACCTGCACACAGGGGTTAAATAAGGTCACACAGCAATAGGGAAAAATTCCGTATGCAAATCCAGTCATCTGACCCCAGTGAGCACTCCCTGTTATGGGGCTTCACTTCTTCAGTAGTTCTAAATCTTTTGTCAGACAAGACACACACGACAGGAGTCACGTCCCTGGCAGACTCCTTGGGCACAGCCAAGGTTATACTTCGGTTTCCTCTGGTCTCATCACTGGGCCATCATGTTCTTTCCCTTTTAGTAATGCCCGCCCATGTGCAAACAAATGGGACAGAGTGCTATAATTTGCAGATAATCCTGAATCAAATCTAGTTTCTTTTTTAAAAAGTAAATCTTATACAAACTTCCACCCTCTAACCACTAGCAATTTATATGTAAAATGCCACACAACTGACTGTTAGGAAATGTCTATTGAGAGCCCCTGAGTTAGTATCTAAAAGAAAGTATCAACCATAAAATTAAGGAGATCTGGGTATGATTCTTGTTCTGCCACTACGAACTGTGTGACCTTGGGCAAGTTGTGCAGCCACCCCAAGCTTTAGTCTCCTCATTTTCTTTATGGTGTTGACGAAGACTTCATTCACATGGCACTTAAAAGTGCATAGTAGGCAAGCAGCACATGGTGGCGGTTGGGCCCTCGTGTAACCAACAGGCGAGGATGGCTGTGCCCACTTGGTAAGATTTTCATAAGGAAGTAATGTGGGAAGTGGAAGTGGAAGGGAACTGGATGAGGAGAGCTAGGTTCTCCTTCTATCTCCAGCATAACTGCAGAACCTGCTTCTTCCCAAAGGCCCAGCTGCTATATTTTTTGAGTGTTTGTGTCTGCTTTTCACGACAACTCTGTTAAACTGTCAGATGTTCTGTCTTAAAGCACTCTCCCCTCTTCAAATTTGCTGCTTATAGTCTGTTCTAGGTCAACAAACTAGATTCAATTCAATACGATTCATTCAACATTTTGGGGGGCACTGTGTTAGTCACCCAGAAGCAGAAACAGTTACTAGATTATGACAAGACAAAAGCAAAACAGCTCTGTCTGAGAGTCATCTGTGAGTAAGGTACTCATGTGCAGGCAGTTTACAAATACCTATTCTATGGACTGGTTGCAGCAGAATAACAACATAAAAACAAAGATTCCTGGGTGTCTCTCCAGACTGCTGAATCAGAATTTATAGGAATGGGGTTCTGGAACCTGTTTGCTTATTAATTTTCCAATTCAACACATCTTTCATGGATTCTAGGGACAAACAATAGACATTTCATAGACAGCATGTAAAGGAGAATGAAACACACACAAGTGACTAACCATAAGTTGAGATTCTATTTTGAAACATTCTCAAGGGACGATTTTGGTGCTCAGCCAGGTATGGGCACCACAGGCCCTCAGAGCCACAGGATGGATCAATGAGGTGGGAGGGGCAGCCAGCGTGACCGTTCCTTCATATTACAGAAGAAATAGCTACTGTGAATAATGCTGTGATTTTGCCATGTATAATGTGCACCCACATTTTTGGCCCAAACTTTCAGGAAAAAAATCCATTTTAATTTTTTAATTAATTAATTCATTTATTCATTTATGTTTAGATACTTGCTTTTTTGTATCATAAAGGAATTTTAGCATTTTTTAATACATTATGGTGCAAGAAGTTTTATGTAATGAATAATTACAAAACACAAGAACAGATACAAGATATTTCAGGTACTACCCATGTATAATGGCACATCTTTGTTTTTCCCTCAAAAATTTGGGGAAAAAGTGCACATTATACATGCCAAAATATGGTATGTCTTTACAAATAAGCGTCTCCAAAATTTTCAGGCAGATACCCAGAAGAAGGACTGCTGGGTCATATGGGGGTTCTATTCTTAATTTCTGAGGGAACTCCAGAAAAGAACCATATGATTTCCCTAATACATGGATTATAAAACAATAGGCAACAGACAGACAAACAAAGGAAACCTTGTCGGTACAGATAACAGTATGGTGATCAGCAGAAGGAAGTGGCTTGAGAAGGATTCAGAGGGTCACAGGGGGGTCAAATATATGGTGATGGGAAAAGACTAGACTTCAGGTGGTAAGCACACACCAGACTACGATGTCATATTACAGAGTTGTACATCTGAAATTTATATAATGTTATTAACCAATGTTACTCCACTAAATTTAATTTGAAAAAAGAAAAAAATACACATTCTAGACTTCATCAAAATTAAACACTTTGTGCTTCTATAGACACTATCAAGAAAGTGAAAGAACCCACAGAATGGGAGAAAAAATTGCAAATCTGATGAAGGTCTTGTATCTAGAATGTATTTTAAAAAACTCCTACAACTTAATGATATGAAGGAAAATAAATAATCTAATTTTTAAAATGGGCAAAAGATACAAATAGACATTTCTGCAAAGAAGGCATACAAGTAACGCACGAGAGAACCACCTCCACGTGCACAGGCACACGCGGACTCTATAAGGTCACCTAAGCCCTCCCTTACATTGCCCCTGCAGCCCTGATCTCCCTCTGGCTTCTTCCCTCTAGATGCCCCACAGGTCTAAACTTCACACTTCAAACCCAACCTAGCAAAAATGACACCCGTTATTTTCCTGGTGCTCTCTCCCCACGGTCTTCAGCATCCAACCAAGGGCCATCATTAGCTATTTTTGTCTCTCTCTCAGGACCTAATGCAATCAATTGCCAAACCCAAATGATTTCCTCTCCTGTCTCAGTCCTCACTGCTGCTTCCTGTGTTCAGACCCCAGCCTCTCTCCTGTTGGCAGGTCGGCACTCCAACCAGCCTTGCACCTCTGGTCAGATCTCATGGCTGCCTTGTTCTCTCAGCTGTAGCCCAGGATGCAGCACTAACTGGAAATCATGTAAGTAGTAGTTGCATAGGCGGTCAAATAAAATGGGGAAGGAAAATAGAATATTAAAAGTTGTGGTATAACAATAAATGGGGTTTAATATTTAATATTAATACCAATATTAATAGCAATATTAATATTTACCAAATTAACAGCACCAATATTAGAGATGAAACATCAAATGGATGATGGACATAGATAGTAAGCAAAGTGAGAAATCATAAACAAAAACAAATCATGTTGGCCAAACATGAATTATGGTAAAAATAGCATCAGGTATGTTATACATTAGATTTTTTAAATTATCTTTGTTACGTCTTATGAAAACACCCTTGTAAAACTGGAGCCAAGTGACCCATCTAACATATACAGCATGAAACAAGACATAAATAATGGATATGGCAGGGAATATGCAAAGAGAAATTTCCAGGAAATCATTGCCCTTTTGTGTGTGAATCTTTAGAAACTTATACAAGTGATTAAACCATTATATAGTCAGCATTTTAAAAGTAAATTTTTTATTAGTTCCACTTCCTTGTTCATGAAAGGGAAAACTCTCTGACCCTTTCCCATTTTCCAGTTTGGGCCTGAGATTATGGGATAAAACTTATCTAAAATACATGACTCTAAAATAAATGTTGAATTACATGGAGATACTCACCCAAAGCCTATAGCTACCCAGTAGTTTCTGACCCCCTGGTGGGGACCCACCATCGGCAGAATGTCAGGAGAATAGGTGATAGGCCCATTGACGACATTGATGATGTGGGCCTTTTTCAAGACTGGAACCATTTCCATGGCAGCCTCGACGTGTTCCATGATTCGGTCTAGATCAGACTCAAAGAGCTCCTTTCCAAACCCTGAAAGGACATGATGTTGTGACTGACCAGGATGCCACTGCTGCAGTGACAAGTACCCTAAAGTGATTTGAATCCCTGAATCAGCTTACACTTACAGATGGCCTGTTAGGAAAGTACTTCCTCTTTTTGTTTTAAGTCTAAACTATATTATTGGGAACAATATTATTTCTTGAAACAATAAAATCATGAAAATTAACCTTTTCAATTAGTAGAAAATTTAAATTTATACATGTTAACAGTTTTCAGTATTTAATCCAATCACACTTTGAAATAACAAATGACAATTGTTTGGTTTGATAACAGACATCTTTTATCCTTCAAATAACCATAAAGTCTGCTTCTCAGGTGAGGGCGATTGAGAGTCATGTCAGAATGTTGAGGCTAATGGGAAACTACTCTAGGATCTGAGATGGTGAACCAATAGACCCTTTTAACTCTCAGCAGGGAGGGGGTGGCATGGCGGCCTTCCCCCTGAGCCCACTCCCAGACATATCTGAGGGCCAGAATTCTGAGAAAAGAGTCAGAGCCTGGGAGTACAGTCATCTTCTCTGTCCTAAAAGGCACTGTGATTGAAGGCTGGGTCACAGACGACCTTCTTAAAGAACATGTCCGCCAACAATACTGATGATTCTTGCACACAGCAGCCAGCACCTTCTTACTGCTCCTCCTCCACTGAGTGGTGGTGGATCAGGGGCATGGCGACCTGCAGATCACCAGGACTGGACCAGGACATGTGGCACTCGGGGCCAGCCCACATCTGGCTCTCCCTTCAACTGCAATTACTTAAATATTCATCTAACATTTATTTAGGGAAGAGGCTGCCAGCATGAGGCAGAGCAAAAAGGGAGGCTCCCAGTGGCAGATCAGCCCTCTCTCTGGGGTCAGGAGCTATTCTGCTCGGGCCCAAGTGTGCACAGCCCAATCAGCTGAACTACAGCCCTGGAATAACTGGTCCAATGTCTGTCGAAGGCAATTCAGTGATTTATTCTGACAACGGCAAAGGTGTTCTTTGAAGAATAGGAGGGAGGAATTTAGTCCCTAGCTCAAGTAGCTTATCAAAGTATAATTCTAGAAAGTATAAATTCCTCCATTTCTAAAGTATATTATATCCTTTATAATAATTCAGTTTCCCAATGACATTTTAGCTACCTCCCTAGTTGACCCAATCTTTAATCTGGCTCTGTTAAAATGTTTCATGAAAAACAAAAACCAGGTCATTTTTCCCTTGCAGAACTTGAGAGAGAAACTATGGTGCCTCCTCCTTTAGCACTGAGTCCTGAGTCTTTTCCTCATGCACTTACGCAGTAGGTAGGACTTCAGTGTGTAGTCCTACCCTATCCTGCTCTGTGAAAGACTCCAAGTCTTTCATTCTTAGCAGGTTGGACACCCTGTCTCTGATACCTGTCTATGTTTCCACCTGTCAAAGCACAGTAGCAGCTACATCCAAATCTGGAAATGAGGCCCAGCAGGAGGGGGAACAGGAAAGAGTGAGGATGCAGGAGGTAGGTGTGCGCAGGTAAAAATTACCTAGAGCCTTCCAAAGCAGTGGGGAGCATATTTCTTCAGCTTCTCCACCACCAACTGCCTCTTCTCTCTTTCCTTACTTCCTGCTGTGATTATTCAAAGCGATAAGAGAACAGAGGTTACCTCAAACCCCTCACCCCTAAGATCCCAGGTGTCCTATAGTCTAGTATTACAGCACCATCTTATTCAACCGCCAGTACCCCAGCCTCCGGGAGGATAAAATGTACATGTCTGATAAGCACACACTTCTATTTGCTAAACTTACCTGGAGGGACTCCATTGGCAACCCACGAATCCTGAAGTTTCATTTTCTCCTGACTTTCATAGGGACCAAACAAGAGCCCATCCCTTTCCTGTCGGAGGTAGTAAGACCCTTCCAGGTCGCGGAGCACAGGGAGTTCTCGTGTCAAAGCTTTTACTTCAGGGATAGTCGAAGTTACAACATACTGATGCTGAACCGGAATGAGAGGATGTTCCAGTCCAGCCATTTTACCTACTTCACGAGCCCAAAATCCTTAAATAAAAAATCATGTTCAAATGTCACCACATATATAAACAAACCACATCTGACACTGATAATAGCAATTTATATTAGCATAAAATTGTAGACTTCAATACTTATGGAAAAGTCTAAAGAATGTCCTAATGACTTTTTGTCATTGCAAACTCAAATAAGAGAAAAGAAGACAATAGTGCACATTGCCTAGAGTTTTGAATATAATTCTATAATCTAAGGAAATTCTATTCATGGAAAAGTATTTTGCCCATAAGTAAAGGTGGGCAGGAAAAAGAAAACACAGACTGACCCTACTTGTAGAGCAGGGATGGTCAGGCATGGAAGAGCCACCCCCGCCCCACCGATGACCAACATAACGCGTCATGGTCGTGAACAAATCCCTGAAAGTCAGCCTCCTCTGTTCTTCGGGCCCTCCTGAACGCCTAAAATTCCACCACTACAGAACTGTTCTGTTAGCTTAAATTTGAAAATACATATACTTGGAGAGAGAGAGCACATTAAGTTTTCTCTGTTATTTTAACAGTTTAATTTGAATATGTTTGTAAGATCCTTTCTTGCAAAGGGCACGAAGTCAGCGGAGGAGTCCAGGGCCAGAGGGAAGAGGGGCCACAGCCAAGGGAGAGGGCTCCCAGACAATAGGGGCACCCACAACCAATGTTTCTCACTTCACAGTGTGCATGGGACTGTCTTATTGATGAGAACGAATGTGACCTTTTTCCTCTGCAAAAGTTGAACCAGATGATTTGTGGATGGAAGAACCCTTGATTCTATACTGGGTGACTCTTCAGAAAAAAGATGTGCACCTCAAGTCCAGAGAGAAAAACAGACCTACCCAAGGTCAGAAGGGGATACCCTAGAAATACCAAATCTTATCACTTTAAAAAAAACACAACTTTTTTATTGTTGTTCAAGTACAGTTGTCTCCATTTTCCCCACATCACTCCCCCCACCCCCAGCCATCCCCACCTCCCACCCTTGATCCCACCCCCCTTTGGTTTTTGTCCGTGTGTCCTTTATAGATGTTCCTGAAAACCCTTCCCCCTTTGCCTCCCATTATCCCCTCTCACCTCCCCTCTGGTGACTCTCAGTTTGTTCTTTATTTCAATGTCTCTAGTTATATGTTACTTGCTTGTTTGTTTTGTTGATTAGGTTGCACTTACAGGTGAGATCATATGGTGTTATTGCTTTTCTTGCTGCAGGAAGACTTTATTTTAAAAATCCAAGACTCCTTTACTTGTATAAAGATATTTTAAAATCTAAAATGATAAAAATAATTATTTCTCAAACCTACCAATGGATTATTTGGGGGTGAGGGGATTCTATGTGTGTGTTTGTTTCATAATTTTGAGTAATCATCCAAATGATTAGGGGATCTTATTTAAGTTATTTCCTTAGGGGTTTTACTCTCTAAATTTTTAACCATTTCTCTTTTTTCCCGTTTTCATTGCACTGTAATTTAACCCCTCCTCTACTTGGTGGCAACTTGATCAACAGAGTTGATATGATTATGCCCAAGAGCACAGTCCCTTTCCATATGTTAAAGTCTCCTGTGTTCCTCGGTGACGTCTAAAAGCTTTTTTCATAGAAATCTCACACATCTCTGTAGGCTTTATATGTATTCCCATGTGTTATCTTTTTTGTAGTTGTTGTGAACAACAGATTTCTGTCCTTGGTCTGTCCCACTATGAGACTCACCCGCAGAGGAAGGGACAGTATGGGCTGCATGGAGAGCCCTGGGCATCAGCAATGAGCCTTTCTTGTATAATCATTAGTGACAGGGGGGTTACCTTAGGACTTTTGAGTCACCAGTTTCTGCAGGGAGGCAGCTAACACTTACTGGGTCCCTAATATACACATATGCCAAGCATTATGCTGGTGATTTAAATAAAAGTATAATATGTATATGAAGTAGATGGTACTATTTTTCCTTTACAGGTGAAAAAAATCAGAAGTTCAAGGTCACAGAGGCAGTAGACTTTTGGACTCCAAAGCCACTATTTTCTACTATATCCCAGAAGGAGCTATAGTAGGCAGTGAGGTGACCTACTGTTGTTCACAAGGAAATATTCATTCTCTATTGCTAATTATATAATAATATAATATTATTATAATTAATTATATATAATATATAATTAATATATAAATAATTAATTATATTTAAATATACTTATTAGGTGGCTCAAACTCATTACAACCACTATTCTTATCAAATGAAGGCAATATACATTTTTACTAAGTGGTTCAAAAGAAATTAAGTCATCATCCAAATGATTTCTAAATTCTACATGTCATTTTTTTCATGCTTTCACTATTGTTTTCCCCAAATTATCTCCTTTCAGTGTTTCCATAAATGCAGCTGGCATGTCCTCAAATCCTTCAATGACGTATTCATTGTACTGGATTTTCCCCTCTGTGACCCACTTCAGTGAGTCTTTCAGAGCCTTCTGGCGGCCCTCCCCTTGCCAGCAGCTGACAATGAACCCTTCCATGCAGAGCTGCTGAGAGATAATAACCTTTGGGGGTGGACCTGGGAGAAGTGGACAAGTAAGGTTATATGTAAAGATGGCCCCGCATATAGCAATTCTTCCAAATTTCTTCATCTGGGAAATAACAATGTTTGAAAATTCTCCACCTACATTATCAAAATAACAATCATAACCATCAGGAGAAGCTTTTTTCAAAGTTTATTCCAAAGGCTCTGCTGTCTTGTAGTTAAAGGCAATGTCAAATCCAAGCTTTGTAAGGTAGGCAACCTTACCATCACACCCTGCTGCTCCAACAACTTTGCAGCCCTTGAGCTTAGCTATCTGCCCCCAGCAGAGCCCATGGCCCCTGCTGCTGCATTCACCAGAACTGCATCTCCGCCCTTGCTCCGCAGATGTGGAGTCGGCCGAAGTCGGCTGTTAGACCTGGCACGCCAACTGTTTCCAGCCTCAAAGACAGAGGTAATGTGTCTGGCCTCTCCTCAGGCAGCGTCTCCAGTTGTTTTCCATCAGAAATGGAGTGTGTTGTCCAGCCCGAAGGAGCCGGAACAATAGTTCCTGTTGGGAAGGCTGAATTTTTACTTCCCACAACTCGGGCCACTTGCTCCCCCATCATCGTATCACCCTCCTTCAGTCTTTTGGCCGCCACTCTCACGTTAGCATCCACAGTGAGGAACAAAGCTTCCAGCAGGCCCTCTCCATTTTTAAGGGAGGGAGTTCAGCTGTCTTCATCTCAAAGTTATTATTTAGGGTGGCCTTCAAAGTGCTCCTTCAAGGTCCAACTCTTAGCACAGACCATCCTGAAGCTCCTGAGTCCACAGGTTGCACTACCTAGAGAAGGTGGTTAAGATTGCACAGCTGAGCACCCAGGGCCAGGATTTCTGTACGGACCCAGGGAGGGTGGGGCTTCTCCCAGGGCAGAGCTGGGGTGAAACTTTTAACCATTTGTATTTCCACCTTTTCCACCCCAGAATCTCATGAGGAGTTCTGAAGTCTCTGTGATTATGAAGTTCAGAGCTAGACACAGAATCAACAATTATGAGTTGGTCTGGGAACCCGATTATATATTATTAGGTGCTGAAGTTTATCTCTACTTGTCCATCTAAATGTCACTCTGGTCTGTTATTATGTTTTGGCTTAATGGTCACACTTGTATAATAGCCCCAGAAATGGGTATCCATTTGCAAACCAAAAATCTCACCTGTGGGCATTAGAGCTGTTTATTGGTCTTTCAATAATTTGGAGACTTAATTTATGTGTGCTGGCGGGAAGATGTAAATTACTAATTCAGGATTTTGTAGGAAAAATAAAGTAAAGCCACAAATTCTAGCTATATGTACTAGAGGAGCTTTATAATATAAAAAGCCAAAATGTTTGGCCTAGTAATTCAAAGTAGTGCAATATTCTCAATATATTTGTTTCAATTAAAAACATAAAATGAATAAAATAAATTCTGTTCTATTAAAAGATATTTATAAATTTCTGAGTCTAATTGCTTGCTTATTAATGTACTTCATCATTAAAACAAAGTGGAAACATTTGCTTAAGTATCATATCACTATATTATTTGAAACCCCCTGGAATAGTCAACACAGCTTTACCCTATGTGGTGGTGTTTGTTGGCATTCTCTCCTCTGTATGTCAGTCGAGCTAACCAAGGTCAAGCCAGGACTACACTTCAACCCCTGCTAGATCACCCACCCACCAAGTGCTAAGGGAATAGAGGCAAATGTGGAGGAATCATCTAAAAAATATACCATTATCACTTGAAAAACACTGAAGAGAAGAATCAGTAAAATAATGGTTGTAAATGGCTTCCAATTACAAACAAATCATTGATTACTAGAAATGGAGTTAAAATGAAGGGCACGGGTTTGTGGACAAGTTTACTGCTACTAGGGTTTACACAGTGGCCATGATGGTTATACAGGGACATTTACTGATGCAGAGTATCAGGCAAAATTAAGCAATTCTTTTGGCTGAACACTGGCCTCACATTGGCACAATCTGATCACATTTCTGATTTACCACATCAGGAGAACTCTTAAGTAAAGTTTACAAAGTTACCTCAGGCTTAATGAGTCGAATGTAGATGAGGTCAAGAGAAACATTCATCACTATACAAAGAAAAAACTGCGTCATCACTAATAGCTCCTGCCGTGCCCCTGAGCTGCACTCACAGGAGGGATAAAGTGAAGGTAAAATGAGGAAGTTTTTAAAGCAAGACTAAAGGCAAGTTCGCCTATTGCACACCAAGAGATCAGGGGTGTCAGAAACTGCTCTTCGGCTCTGCTCTTTTAACAACGAGGTTACCTCATTCTGTCTCCCTTAGGAACACCGGTGTAGTAGCGTTCCTCAAAACATGTTTTGCAGACCACTTGGTGCAGACAACACAGTACCTGGAATACTTGTTTAAAATGCAGCTTCCCACCAAGACCAGCTGGATTAGAATATATCTGAAACCTGGGAAACTCCCCACAGTGATTCTCGTGCACACTCACTTGAGAACCAAGCTTCTGGGGAAGTCCCTTTACCAGCAGAATGGGTGCCGGTTGACAATAGAGTAAGTAAAAGGATTTGGGTGATCTTAAGGCTGGTACCAAGTAGCTACGATACCCTGATGCTAGTGTCTGCCAGACCAGGTAGGGCACAGGCTTTCAAGGAAATAATAATAATAACAACAATAATTATTCATAATAATAATTCATAATAATTATTCATAATAATAATTATTATTATACTGAATTATTTTAGTGTTTTCTGTTTGGTTAACCCTGTTTTGAGTACTTTACATCATTAGCTCATTTACTGATCATAGTAACTTTTTGAGATGGACACTATTATCTCCATTTCACAGACGAGCAATCTGCCCAGGTCCCACGGTTGGCAATACATTGTCTCTGGGCAAGAAAGTGCTGCTGCCCTGGACGATGCTGGAGACACAGCAGCCCACGGACATATTTTTGCTTCTAGAGTTTCCTTCTCACAGACACCCTAAAGACTCAATAGCCTTCTGTTATGACTCCATGTACAGAAACTTCTAGCAGGTTATTGTACAATTGAGGAGATAACAGTGGGCTTTACATCTTTGGCATTTTGATTATATTTCCAAGTCTACATCCTGGTTAGTTTATTTATTTATTTATTTATTTATAACATTTTATTTATTTATTTTTAAAGAGAGGGGAAGGGAAGGAGATAGAGAGGGAGAGAAATATCAATCTGTGGCTGCCTCTCATGTGCCTCCTATGCAGCCTGCAACCCAGGAATGTGCCCCGACTGGGAATTGAAGCAGTGACCCTTTGGTTTGTAGATCCGCACTCAATCCACTGAGCTGCACCAGCCAGAGCCTACATCTGGTTACTTTAATTAGATTTCAGACCTGGCCTGAGGGTCTCACTTGAATTTGTGACATATTTTGGTCGCACTGAGCAACCCTGGAAAGCTTCCATCAAACACACGTGCTCAAATCGTGTTAGCATGACGCCTTCTGCAGGTGGTTGCTTTAATCATGAAACTGATCTTTGTTAGTTTTAATTCTAGAAGGGGGCATATCTAAACCTTCGCCCCCAATTATTGAAGCTTACCACTTGAGGAGCTACCATACTTTAAATAAGGTGTTTAGTTTTAAAAAACAGACTCACAACCAATTAAACACACACCACTCACACCTTGCATGGACTACTAATATGTAATCAGTTAAATTTTTTCCAGTCACTTTGCCCAGTGGAGGAGAAGACATGGAGGAAGAAAAGAAAAAAAAATATTTGGGCCAGAGATATGATCTGAATGAGATAAAGAATTAATGGGATATACAGTGATGTATTATAAAATTGTGCATTCAATAAAATTGAAACTTTATATAGAGTTATTAACCAATGTTACCTCAATAAATTTAATTTAAAAATTTCGATAGGATAGTTCTCAATACAACAGTCAACAAAGAGTCACCTGGAGTTACCCATGAGGATGGGAGCGGGAGCAGATGGCTGGGTAAGAGGCTCAGGGACAAAGACAAAAGGGGGCTGCCCTAGAAAACTGCTTTCCTGGTGCTGGCCTGGGAAAACAAGTCCCAGAAAGTCAGTGGATGGTACAAGCCTGTGCTTACCACTCCACACAGGGCTGCACAGTCAGTCAGCCTAATTCCTGGGATTTGTCCTCCCAGGCCAGGACCAGAAGGGCTGTTCTCCAGGACCCCAGCCACTGCCCAAGCTGCCCTGATCAACCCAGATTTCCTAGCTGCACAGAATATGTGCTTCATCTGGTAAGCAGTGTCCTGGGTTTGGCTCAGATCTCTTCAGAAAGTATGCTTTTCCCAGTGATTCCTTATTCCTTACAGTTTAAGGTTTAGGAAAAAAAATTATTACAATGGCAACGAATTACATAAACAAAATTGTATCCATTTTAGAAAAATAATTGAGATATGTGTTAAATTAAGGTCTTCTGTGTTATTTCTCAAAATATCCATCAGGAGTGTGTGGCTGCCTGAAACACTGTATTGGGGAAAATGGTTGGGCTTACTCACGCCCGTCCGAAGCAAGTGCAGTGATCACTTAGCAATGCCTGCCGCGGGCGCTGGCCTGGAAGTCAGAGTATGTGTGCTTAGTCTTTGCCATCACTCTGAAAACAGTAAATGTTTTGGGGGACTGAATTCATGAGACTATAAAGAATGTGCCAAGATTACAGAGAATCCTTGCTACTTGGGAAAAAAGGATGAAGGATCTTGTTGCCGTAGATATTCTAGCAAAGTTTAAACCAGTGGTGCTGAAGGATGGTGAGGGGCAGGGGATGTCACATGGGGATTGCAGGGGTAGGGACAAGTGAAGTTAAAGAAGAAGCAGTATTGTATGGCTTTGCTTTTAAGTTTTTAGGCAATTCATTTTATACAGCTGTGTTTTGAATTTCAAATGATATCAAAGAAGGCATGAGATTTTTTATGCTTTTCAAATGAAGGACATTGGGGAGAAAGATTCAGAAATACTCATTTTAATTCTTCAATATTAAATACATGAATTTTTTCTAGAACCACTAAAAATAATTTGTTAAAAAATAACATCAAAGTTATAGTTTAGAGGAATGGATCTTAAGGGTCCATGTTTCTATTGTCCACATGGCATATCATTTGAGCTAATATGTAATAAGGATTGTTTTCACTGTACAATTTAAACACTGACTCAAAGAGCAGACCACAAGAAAATCAGTTATTGCCTCCTGCTTATTTTAGGTTTTCAGTTGACCTTTATAAACTGTAAAGTATTAGCCCAATTTAGACTGCATACACATTTTCACTTGCACAGGAATTTATTTTTGAGTATATGATAGTTGAAATAACCTGTCAGAAAGACTATTAACTCAAGTGTCAAAAGATCCAGGTCCAAATCCTGGCTTTGACATAAGTGTCACTTTGCCAAGTGGCATGGCCTTTTTTTTTAACCTTGGTTCCCATAAATGGAAAATGAGTGGGATGTTAGATTTTCTTAAACATTCCTTTTGGCTTCACTCTATTCTGAGTCTAAATTGTAGCAGAACAACCTAAGAAAAAATTATGAAGTATGTTTAATAATGTGCTGAAAGGAAAACGGCTACAAATTTTTTGACCAGTGTCAAATAACCACACATAGATGAGAGAGAACACAAACGATCAAATCTGCCCCCAAAAGCAATCTGAGAACAAAGAAGATGCTCATGAATTTGAACACTGCAGTTTAATTATTAATAAAGAAAGAGTGAACCTAAGGAAGGAAAAAGAAACATAATTTGGCAAAACATGATCTGGACAAAAATAAAGTGGGGCATGGAGAAGAATACCAAGTTTCTACAGATTACCAAGACCAAGGACAGTGGTATCTCCACCAAGAGCACAGTAATGGACGGAGAGCTTTGTAGCTTAGAAACAGACAAAATGTTCACCTTAAAAGCATCACAGTGTTTTATAACAATGTTCACAATATAAAAATATTACTTTATGTCATCTTATTTCTCTGCCACTTTAAAAAAAACCTCACTAATTTAAAAAAAAAGATTTGACACTTACCTGCAGCATTCACAATTCTGTTTGCTCTCATCAATCCCTGCGGTGTTTCAACATCCCATGTTCCATCCGACCTGGCTTTCAGAGAAATCACTGGTGCTGGGTATTTTAAAAGGGCTCCATATTTCCTGGCCCCAGCAGCCAGGGCCATAGTTAGAGAATAAGGATCAATATGACCATCTCCAGGATTATACAGTCCAGCTAAAATCTAAATCGATCATAAGAAAATATTCAAATGAGTATATACTCATTTTTCAGTGGAACTATATCCTGCCAGCAAATGTGTAATAAAACTGGACTTGAAAAAATTCATCGGGGCATCAGATGGGTCAGTCTGCACTTCTTTTCTCCATGTCAAAATTCAGACTTGGGCAGGACCTGCACTGAAAGTTAAATAGACAGGCTACCTGAGGCACCCTAGCAATTGTCTCCAATATCCATTCTCCCCTCTCCAATCAGAGCATGGCAATGGAATGTTTGTTTAGACACATGTCCACTAAAAGCAAAGAGTTTCCAACAGTTGCCAACTATTAGCTCCAGCTGACAGACTAAGTTCTGGCCAATGAAATGCAAATGAAAATGTCATGTGGCAGCTTCCACAAACCATTATAAAAAGACAATTGGCATATGCCCCTGTCTCCCTTCTTCTTGGGCCCTTCTTCCTCCATCTGGCTGTGGCCTGCAGATGTGATGGCTGGAGCTCTAGCTGCTATCTTAGGATAAGAACATAAGAGTCACACCCAAGGAATGAGACAATGATACGGAAGAAGATTGGGTCCCTGAAGTCTCATAGAAAAGAACTACCATTCAAGTCTGGACTGTCCAAGTAAAAGAGAAATAAACTTCTATCTTGTTTAAGCATTATTTTGGTTTCTGACATTTGCAGCCAAATCTAACACTAACTGATCAATTACTTATATTTAGTTAATAAATACTCTTAGTAAATTCTCATGTTAAATATATACCTGGTGTCAGAAAAATATAAACTTAACTCAGTCATTTGACAACTAATTCTTAAATAGCTATTTTGTGGTAGGGCCTGAGGCTAGGTACTGTGGGGTGGGGGGAAGAATAAAATTCAGATGAAACGGGGGGAACACCGTGAAGTGGTATTTTTAGGTCTTAGCCATTCAACGAAAATCTATGGGACACCAAATATGAGCAAGGAGGTTTTGTCAACTTTTTTGTCTGCATCTGCCAAGGTAATCATCTGTATTTGTATTTTGTTTTATTAATCTAGTACTACATTGATTGATTTTCAGATGTTGAACCAGCCCTGCATTCCTGGAATAAATTCCACCTGGTCATGCTGCATAATCCCTTTTATATGTTGCTGAGTTCAGTTTGCTAGTATTTTGTTGAGAATTTTTGCATCAGTATTCATAAGGAATACCAACCTTTCTTTATTTGTGATGTCTTTGTCTGGATTTGGCATCACAGCAATACTGGCCTCATAGATGAATTGGTAAGAGTTCACTTCTATTTTTGAAATAGAAGAATTATGAAGAATTGGTATTAATTCTTCTATTAATTCTATTTTTGAAATAGAAGAATTATGAAGAATTGGTATTAATTCTTCTCTAAATGTCTCATAGAATTCACCAGGACAGCCATCTGGGCTTTTCTTTGTAGGAAGTCTTTGATTACTAATCCTCTTATTATAGGTTTAGTGCAAGAGGCTTTTGATTCTAATGGAATTCACATTACTGTAGACTTCCAAATGTTACACTGGTGTTTTATAACTGCTACATCATTATAGTAGTCCTATATCTATTTAATTTGTCACCCTCCTTGAGAACCAGAGAATATTCTTTTCACATGTCTCCATTGCCTAATGCCCTTGAGAAAAGTCTGTGATGGTGAGAACTTCCAGCAAAATATTCTAGGACTGACATATAAACAGATAAAAGCATATCCTCACTAGTAGCAGTGATAGAATTTCAATGCAGACAATGCAATGCCGTATAAGTGTGCCATCACACTGGCATCACACAGAACCATAGGCAAGAGAGTGCCAGTAGCTTGCAAAGACTCACAAGGGCAAACAACCTCAGCACCTATATCAATAATACAAACCTGAGGGTGTCAGAGATACTGCAGTCATCACCAAGGAGAATCGTAAGCCTCTGCTTTCTTGAACAGCCCTACCCAATACCCTTAGGTAGTATGTACAAAGAAGTCAGAAAGCCTGGGTTCAAATCTTTACCCAGCTCTTTTTATCTGGATGAGTTTAGACCCACTATGTAAACCATCTAAGCTACAGTTTCCTGTTTATATACTATATACCTTATATTATTACTGTGAAGATTCAATGAGATTATGCATGTTAAGGGCTTAGCATAGTATCCGGTACATAAATATGTGCTGTAGTGTCCTATAGAATAGTAAGTCATTGTTGTTAGTATTATGCAAATTAGATGATCAGCCAACAAAAAAAGATACAATTCTCAAGTGGATTATCTCAGTCAAATTTGGTTAAAACTAGATAAATACCTAGGATATAGTTCTCAGGGAAGTATAGCTATTAGTTAGGTACTATTTGTGTAGTAAAATAGTATGGTACTTCTACACTGGATTTTGTAAAAATCACAGTCTTTTAATACATATATTTAATAACACAGTCTTTCTATCCACATATCTATCATACCAGGTTACTGTTTTCTTTGTAGTTCTCAAACTGAAGGTTTATGTATGGAAACCCCTAGATCTGGGGGACACAGGAATAGAAAGGTATTGAAAATGTTTCCTCAGTTTTCATAGGTAGAAAACTAATAAAATTTTTTCATTATCTTTTCATATTTCATTTAGTGTACATAATAGCCCATCTTGTAATTTACCCAAACCCCAGCATTAATCATCTGATTTTGCCATTTAAAATGTGTGCACATAGTTTTTCCATTTTTAATTAACATTTTAAAATAACTTTCCTAATCTTCATTCAAGGCGACCAATAGTGAAAATGCCCTCAAGACAAGTACCTTACTCATGTTGAGTAAAGGGAACATCTCTTGAATTTTTTCAGGTTCAATAATATACTGTTCCGTTGCATGCCAGCGAGTCCGAGTCATTTGATATTTAAATTCATCCACTCTTACAGGAGTTGTAGCAAGTCTGATACTACCTGGCTGATGGAATCCCACCACCTGTTAAAATAATGCCAATAAAACTCATAAATAAATCATTATTCAGCAATGAAAATGCAGGTATACAAGGAAAGGGACTTATTGTACTATACAGTAAAAGAGATAACTATATAAACATATCTGCATCTTACAAAAAGACATTCATTCATCAACTATTGACTAAGTGCCTGCTCTGTGTCAGGCACTATGCTGAGTCACAGAGATGCTGTTAAGAACAAGAGAGGCAAAGACCCTTCTTGGATGGAGCTTATAGTCTGCAGGCAAAGGCAGACAGCTAATTGCATTATACAATAACATGAGATAATGTTAATGTACAGAGTGAATGAAAATTATGTGGAAAAGAGAAAGACAAAGGATTTGAAGAGGGAATATGAAGAATCAAAATGTTGCAGTGATAAGACTAAGTGTGGATTGAAGTAAATATCCATTTGACATTTATTGGAGTCCTTCAGTTGGCCAAGAACTCAGCTGAGCCCTGGGATACAGAGAAGATAAAAGATGTAATCTTTGCCCTCAGGCTGCTCACAGTCTGCAGGGAAGACCAATCAGTAAAGCAACAACCACTACAGAGAGCTGTGTGTTATAAGAGGGGTGTGCACAAATATTCTTAGAACCAAGTGGTACATCCTCAGTTCAGTCTGACTGGTGGGTGAGCAAAGTTGAAGCCAGCTTCCCCAAGGGGATGGCCCCCAGAAAAAGTGAAGGGTGAATGTTGAAATGCAGGGCGTGGGGGGGGGGTGAGGAGTGCGGCAGAAGGAATGTTGTTTCAGGCAGAGAACACGACCAGCGCATTCCAGAACTACAAGTAATTAAGAAGAGCTGTAGCATCTGAGCATAACAAAGAGAAAATGTGGGCTCAGCTGAGGAACGCCCTGCTCCTCTGTCCTTTGTCCTGTAGGGGAGCCATTGGATGGTTTTTGGCAAGGGAAATGGAATGAAAAATGTAAATAAATTTCAGTCTTAGCCTATGGATGTTCTATGCCTGCCACTTTATTTTCAGAGTCCTAATAACTATGAGAAGTGATAAAAATAAAAGCGAGGGCCCTTTAGTGAAGTACTTTTCAAAGCCATGTGACAATGTACCACCCAATGTTGTCATATCCTTTGCAATCCAGTTGCTGAAAGGCCCTAATTTCTTAGATTCTAGATATAGTAACAGACTAGACACACTTTTGAAGGCTGCTGCTTTTTCTTCTTCCTTCATTAAATACATCAGTAAGAGTGGGTAATCACATGTTTAATACACTTTAAGAAACTCAACTGATTGTAGAGCAAAATTCAGAGGTTCTTCCCTTAAATTCTCGTCAAATTTCTCTACCACATTAAACATTTCACATGCCCTTAACATCATTATACACAGCTCTACATGATGATATCAAAATTCTTCAGAGATCTTACATATTTCTAAGAAACTGACTAAAAGACAATTTCAAGTTCAACTGATTTACCTGTCCAGTTTCTTCTTCCAGTTTCTCATAAAGCTTGATACTATCATAGTGTATTTTCTTCAAGTTTATTCCAGGATGAAAGTAGGTTGTTAAGCCTGCCTTAAAAATGAGGAGGAAAGGAAATATTGGAAAACCATTAACACTCTGAAAATGTTGGTAGTTTAGCTGTTAAGCGGGATTTTACCGCTGGCCAGAAAATGGAGCAGCACCAGCCAGTCCCTGGGGGTGAGAACACATGAGCAGCAGGCTGAGCACGCCAGGGCCTGAGGCTTGTAATACAGTAGTAAGAACAGTCTGAACCGTATAAGTCATGTCAGAGCCAGCCAAAGAACAAATACAGTAAGTCCCTAACAGTTACTAGGAAAGGTTGTTTGAGACTAAGAAATGGGATGATCTGGCAGGAAGTTCAGGAACATGTGCTGCTACAGGGAAGAATGTGGGGGACGGCACACAACATGGACTCAAACCGGCAGACCGTGTGTTCCCTTACGGAGAAGGGCTACAGACTAGCAAAGAGTTTTCCTTGACCAATCCCCACAGTCCCTTGAATGGAGCAGCCCTCAAAGGGAACTGGAGTTCTCTTTGAAATTTCTGAAATTCAAGAATCAGAAAATTCCTGGAAATTATAGCCTGGTAAATTAGTGAACAGACCTTCATCATAACTTTACCTGTTTGATAAGCACACAGATTGTACATGAAAAATATTTGCTGAATAAATACTGAATAATTACTCTCAGGAAAAAATATCTAAATATTAGCATGCCCAAATCCTTCTTATCAACTCAGCTGCATTGTAGTACCCAGACAAAGAATTCTACGCAATTACATGAAGCAGGTTCTCTCAGTTTAGTGTCTGGGGCCCCAGATTGCAGCAGTGTATCTTGGAAAGTTCAACAGAACACAGTCTGTTTAAAATAACATCTGTTTAGGAGTATCTATCAGGCTCTTCTATGGTACAGTGGGCATTTGGTTCTCCTGAACTCAAAAACACCCACTTACAAGTTCATCAAACATTGTTTATGGAACGATCCTCATGCTTCTCTCAAGCATTGGTTGAAGCATTTCAACATACATACAGTTCTGAGAAAAATTCTGGCCCAGTTTATAAGTCCTCTCTTAGCACAGCCCTGTTACAATGGAACTAAAAGTTGGGCTTCTTCACTTTCAGTTAAATACTCTACTCTCCTGTAAATGTTTGGTATCTATCGTGCATATAAACTTTTCTAGTTCAATAATAGAGAATCCCTGACCTTCAGGTATCTAACAGAGAAGTCAACTTTGTCTCCCATATGGCACCCATCATTTGAGAAAACTGATATTCATGAGCACTGACCTAGAATTCTGGTCACCATTCACTCCTTGAGATACTCTAATTTTAACCTTGGTTAAGCCTGACCTCCAGAAAGTTATATACTATTTACACTACATCAACTCTCTTCTTCCCCATCCCAGAAAGCTATTTTCATAGAAGGAGTTAATGATCTTTCATTTGTAAGAGTCACATGGGTTACTTTTTATAAAACTGTTACTTAATAAAATTTAGCCCAACATCTTTTGTTTAGGGAACAAATTCTTCTAGGAATTTCTGGTCAAGGAAAAGTTAGCTCTACCTTAGTGAAATAGTACACCTATTTCCACCAAAAAACTCATACCACTCTAGTTTCCTTGTTACTGGGAAGGTCAGAAGTAAATCCTGAGCTTTTTTTTTTAACAGGCATGAAAGGATATTATTTATTTTTTGCATTGTATATATTTTTACTAACTGATTTTTATCTTTTAATCTGTGTTGAGAATTGCGGGTGAACCATATCTGTGTTTTTATTATAAGTTATCTGAATGTAATATCTTGTGTGGTATTTATTGTTAATTTATGTGCTATTCTTATGGCATGGGATATAAGATGGGTAAAATGTTTTTCTGTTCTGAGCTTCAGCAAGCTTATATTAAATGGAAAGTTTGAAGAAGGTGAAAATATTGTTTTTATCCTTCAAGATTGTATGTTGTGACTGAGATCATGAAACTTTCATACATGAAACAATAAAATCAAAAGCATATGATTAAGTGCCAGAACATAGAAAGACATAAGAACTAAGGGAACAGGGGGCATTAGAAGAGTCACAGAAGTCTTTAAGGAAGACAGGAAAGAGGCCTACCTTTGGTTTGAAGAAAGAAAATAACTATAGTTGGCAGAGAAGATAAAAGAGGGAAGATAAATCAGAGACATGAGTAATCATTAGAAAATATAGCCCTTTAAATAAAATTAAAATGTATGAATCCTTATTGATGTAAATAAATGAGCAAATGGGAAAGCTCTTCTTTATGGTAGACTGACAATAATGAATTAATGAAAAGATGGGGAAAAATTGGGACAACCATAATTGAACAAAAATAAAGAAATAATGAATTAATGAAAACAATGAGGGAGGTAGAAAATTTACCAAATGAGCCAATGATGTGCTCCTTACCTATCTCTTTAACAATCTTTCCCTCTTTCATGAGCCCCTATAGCCTCAAAAAGCCCATCGACTGAGCTCAAGCCATATCCCGGTGGCTCCAGATCTTCTATCCATGCACTCACATCTGATTTGAAAAGTTTGGGTATTCCCTCTAAAAATGTGCATTGCCTGATTGTCATATGATACATAAATATGTATCACTAAATTAACAGAGATCATAAAACACACAAGACAACTTGAAATGAATTAAATATTTTAAATCATTCCTTTGTTGTTTAGAAAAGGTTTGGAATATTAAGTTTATATATTGGTGAGGGCTATGTAATTAATACACTTTATTACTAAAATATATATTTGGGATTAACCTTGGTAAAACAGCAGTGTGAAGGCCAACATCTAGGTTTGTTCTGTTTTGGGTCTGGTCTGCACGGCAGTGGTGGCTGGAGAAGCTGCCTGGCGCAGCCCTAAGACCTGAGTGGGAGCAGTGCACTCTCCTAGCTGCACTTTCCCGGCTGCACTTGCTGCACCGTGACGCCACTTCCTCCGTCCCAGTCACCACTTACTTCAAGGTTTCCACTGAAGTTAGACTGTTAATGTCTCATGTTCTCTTGTTCAAGTTAATTGGAAGGTATTGCATTTTTATAGCTTAAATAAATGGGTACAAATCCCACTGAAACTCCTCATTTGGAAAATTTTTAGGTGGGTTAAAAAAGTTAATTTTTGCAGATATGAAAGTTTTTCTAGGTGATGCATATCATTGTGGCCAGAAAAATCTAGTAATAGTGCCAACTTTCCAAATTCTCTCTTCCCAACAGGACTGTTTTGCAAAAAAGAAAAAGCAGTTATTTCTCACTTGTTGTAACATCACCTTTAGCATCTATTTTTTAAATATGTATATGCTGTGTAGAAATGACTGGCAACCATTTGCATCACTACAAAGGTTGCCAAATTTGGGACACTGTCATTTTGTAAAAGAAAAACTTTAAGTTTCACAACTCTTTTAATTATTAATGTGAAACAACCAGTAAATCCCCATGTAGGACAACACTTTCAAGGTCACTCCCTCTCCCTTTCCTCAGCAATTACACCATTTAAAACCCTGGTTCTACAAAATGAATCACAGCAGTGATTTCCTACAGCACATGCTCTGCAATACAGACTGAAGACCAAAGAAGTGAGGACTCTCCCACCGTAGGGCTCCAGCCCCTCCCTCACTCAGTCGCTCGGAACCAAATCCAACACATCACTCACACCAAAGGTGACGGCTATTTATAAATACTAGTAAAGCTCAATTTATATCTCACATTTTTAGATAAAAATAGAAAGTTCTAATAGTCTTCCTTGTCCCAAATGACCCATCTTGCATCTTTAGTCCTCAACCCTCCAAAACATCCACTTTCTTACTATCCCCGGGGCACCCTGTCTTGGGGACCCCATGCTCCAAAACCACATCTCACTCAATCCTCTCTCCTACCCTTCAGCCCACAAGAAATGCTCCATATTGGTAGTAGTGCCAGGTGCTGACAAAGCAGTCTCATTAAAATATAGCAAACCCTCAGGATTTTGGATTTGTGACTCCATTTTGAAGACTCACATTACAACCTGTGCCTTCCTCCCTGAGCATTGATTCCTACACTCCCAGACAAGGTGGACTTGCGCACATGTTATACTTCAGTGAGACCACCCTTATTCTTTGTATTCTGCTGCTTTAGCTGGCTCCCCAACCTCACACCTTCTCTTATCTGCTGCAAATATTTCTGTGTTAAAAATTCCTAATACATGGGATTTTTTCACATTACTTCTCAGAGGCAGGCCCCCTTGACTTGCAAAAATTCATAGAATCAGCTTCTTAGGGGGACACTCTTTCTTTTCCTTCATTCCTCGGGGGCAAATAACCTGGCTTCTGATGCCTGACTCCATCTCGAGCTCCCACTGCATGGATCTCACTTTGCAAACCATCGCATAGCGCTTTCTTCACCAACCAGGAGAACGCCTTTTCCATTCACTCTGATATCTCTTCACTTAAGGGAAACTGTTTTTGCGTAGTTAACATTTAACAAGAAACTGGAGCCCTGGCTGGCATAGCTCAGTGGATTGAGCACGGGCTGGGAACCAAAGTGTCCCAGGTTCGATTCCCAGCCAGGGTACATTCCTGGGTTGCAGGCCACAACCCCCAGCAACCGCACATTGATGTCTCTCTCTCTCTCTCTCTCTCTATCTCCCTCCCTCCCTCCCTTCCCTCTCTAAAAATAAATAAATAAAATCTTTAAAAAAAATAAAATAAAATAAAATTCAGTACCAATTAAAAAAAAAAAAGAAACTGGAATGTTAAAAACTTTGTCCACTTTTCTTAAAAGAACTTAGGTTAAGGGTATGTTGCTTTAAAAAAATTCTTGGGATATATAAGTAAAATTGCAGGGAATTCAGTAATCTATTCTAAAATGTAAGCCACATCAAATCAATCAAATATAAATGAGCAAATAAGTAATTAAAATGTTAAAGAGTATATCCTCCTTAACAACCCAAAAGTGTTAAAAGCCACCCCCTCTTAGGTTACTTCCACTTGCCCAAATTTCCTTCTGCCTACATGCCTTCACCTGGACAGCCTGGGGCCGCTCACTCACTCACTTCTGCCTTATCTCTGCCCTTTCAAGTAGCCTCCTGATGCTTCTGTCTCTGTCATTCTTTCCTGCATTCATCCCTTTACCCAGACTTCCTCTTCTTCCTGGCACTGATTACTCTCAAACGCGCTTTGTACATTTTCTGTCTGCCCTCCCAGAATGTGGCGCCAAGAGGGCAGGGACTTCGTTTTGTTCACTGCCATGTCCTCACCTAAAACAGTGCTGGTCTGACACAATATGGGCTCTTTCAACAATACGTTTGTTGAAAGAATGATTGAATGTCCAGCAAGGAGAAGTTACAGGAGAACTATAGGAGAAATGCGGGCTTTCTTTTCCATGATAGCAAATAGCCTACACAGAAGGTCTAGTTCAGGGAGGGAAGAAGAGCCAGGAGTGTCAGTGGCCTCCTGGACGCCTCTCTCCAGACGGGAGGAAGGAAGCTGAGGGGAACTGGTGAAATGATGTGCCTGTGAAGGTTCTGAAATGACGCTCAGGAGCACTAGGTGCCTGGGCCTCTCTCCCAGACTGGGTGGGGACGGGGGGTGGGGGGGGTTTGGAAGAAGGGGAAAGAGGGAAGAGAAGATGTGTATGCTATGATTTTTCTAGGCACCTTCATCCAACCACGTGGTCAGGCTCTGCGGCCAGTGGGATGTGGCACCATCTGGGTTTAAATCTGAGCCGCACTCTCCTTCACACTCAACTAGAGGCAGGCAGCCCTTTTAGTGCTCAGTCTCCACCCATACCTTGAGCAGGTTCTGGATGTCAAAGGGGCCTAAAAGCAGGGTTTTCTCTTGTCTCAGCAGAAGAAAGTAATGATGAAAAGGGAAATTAATGACAGGAAGTTAAACTGACATTGCCTAACTAATCCTCCAAAAGAACTCTGTACAATAGTCATAAAAACTCTCTCCCATCCTTAGCTGACTTCAGAAACAATTGATTTGGTGGCATGAAAGCAAGTGTCAATCCCCTCATTTCCCTGAGCAGCTTTCCATGTTGGCCTCAGTTATTGCAGAGCACTGGAACAATTACGCATATACCACTAAGTACGTGAGACGAACTTGGCTGTGTGTCTTAACACAAAAGTGTGTCACATGTTCTCAATCCTCATAGTTAAGTCTTCATGCAGCCAAGCTGTTGTCTTACAAAATTAAAACCATAAATAAATAAACAAAAAGGACCACTAAAGTCAGGTGAGAGAAATGTAGGCGAAGGTCTCAGCCATATTCAGGATCACCCAACCACTGTTCTTTGATACAAAGGGTACCATTTACTAAACACTTAGTATGTGTTTAATAACTTTACACACAGTAACTCAATCTTCATCACAACCTTAGCAGTTAGGTATGATCATCATTTTCATTTTAAACACCAGGAAATGGAAACTTAAGTAATCTGCCCTAAGTCACATGGGTAGAAAGATGTGAATCCAGAAGCCATGTGTTCAAGATAAAGACATCACGAGTGTTGATCACTGCCTGGAGGTATGCCAACCAAAATGGAACTTCACGTTCTAACACTGTAGAAAGGGAACTCACTCTAAAGAGCTAGAAGTGGGGCGTTGTGAATGGGAAGGAAACTGATTGCACTAGTGCACAATTCAGTGTCTATGACAGTTTTGAGGTGTTTTTCTTACTGCATGCCAGGTAGATCCAGCAGTGAGCTCCGATTTCTCCAGTAGGACCACATCTTTCATCCCCGCTTTAGCCAGGTGATAAGCCAGACTCACACCAATGCAACCACCTCCGATGATCACTGTCTCTGCTCTCTCTTTCCATCTTGTTTCTGCAGATGAGGCTGGGTTGTCCTTTCTGGAAGACAATTTTTTTTTAATGGTAGCTCTACTAGGCTATGGTAGCTATAGCTTTTTTAAAGGCATCTACGGCCTAACTTAGGCAACCTGGTTGAGGAAGGAAGGAGGAAGCACTTGAGCCTCATCGCATAGAATTCTGGTCCATTGTAGATAACTAGAATAGCTAAAGGACTGAACAGATGACTTCTTTTTTTTTCCCCCCCAGAGAATCTAGAGAATACTTTTCCTCGGTGTATTTAAAGAATACACTTGCAATCATTTTATTCCATCAAAAACCATCATCATCAGGAAGTTTAGTTCTATATATGTTGGATCACCTCCCTCCACTATTTTCTGGGTAAAAGAGAGCCAGATGGAGTGAAACATTCTTCCTTACTTAACTTCCTCTCACCGTGAACATGCTGCTCTAATTATAATTATTGCTCAGTGACTTAACATATTTATTTGCATGACTGTCTTCCTAGCTTGATTGTGAGCTTCTGCAAAACATAGTGTAAAAAGTCATGTGTCAGTAAGCCAAAGAACAACATACATACAAACACCCGGGTTTGCAGACACACAGACCATCTCTGGGTTGACACAAAAGTCACTATAACAGGTGCCTGGGGAAGGGGGTTGGAGTTGGAGAGACTTTTCACTGGGAACCTTTTGTGATACCGTAAAGTGATACCATATCACTTTTGTGCAATCGTGCAAGGAATAAAAAAAAAAAAAACAAGAAGAAATCCAAATGACCCCGAACGCTGGAGTCTGCCTTAGCCCCTCGCTCCCACCCTTCATCCTCTGGCCTTGGGCCTTTGAGCGGTGCAGGTTCCCACTCACCCTTCCAGGCCGCTGACGGAGCGAGGATGGCCGGGGCAGCGGGACAGTGGTAAGCCCCGCAGTGGGAGGCCCCGCAGCCGCTGCGCACCCAGGCAGAGCATGGCGAAGCCTAGGAAACGGACACCTGCTCCGAGGCCGGCCTGCAGGCAAAGGCCGCGGTAGGGGCGGGGGCTCCTCCCCCCGGCAAGGGGCGGGCTCCTGGACAGGCGCGCTCCCTGCCACCAGGCTCCCACAAAACTGCAGCATCATGGCACCTGCCGGGCGCCCCGGAGCCAAGAAGGTGAGTCTCCCAAAGTTTGTGACTACTCAGTCAGCCCTCCGGGCCGCGGGTCTCCCAGTTCCAGGAGTTCAAATCCCACCAGAGCCCCCAGCCCTGCACTGCAGTGAGGTCAAGGCCCCTGGACGGCTCTGGATCTCGGTTAACCTGATCGAGAGGCCAGGGTGACCATATGCCTGGGAGTGAGGATAAGACAACAAACCTGGGTACCATTTATTGTGCCCTGAACTAGCAGTCGGCACTGCGCAGAGTGCTGTACTCAAGCAATCTCTTCATCTTCACAGTTGTCCCATTTTATGGTGGAAGAAACTGAGGCCCCGGGAGTCAAGCCACTAGCTCAGAGCGGGACGGGGATTTGAGCCTTCGGATCAGAGGCCACACATTCTCTCCCCAAAGCCGGCCAGCACCCACAGTATTCCGGCGCTTCTGCCCCACTATTCCATTCCCCTGGGTTTTGGGAAGGGCCACGGTCTGGCCGTTCCAGGGTCTAGCCGTTCCAGGCGCCCTCTGACCCGAAACCATCCTGGCGGGGACAGTGCCAGACGCGCGATGGAGAGGAGGATGCCTGGGGACCCCTCCTCCTCATTCCACTCTGCAGCCGCTGTCTCCAGGCTTTTTTCCTCAGCCCCATTTCCAGTCGGGTTGCCAGCTATTGGTTTTGTCCGCCCATTTCTATGCTGTGTATGTGTGTGTGTGTGTGTGTGTGTGTGTGTGTGTGTGCGCGCACGCGCGAACACAAGGTGGGAAGAAGGGGTGACAAAATAAAATTAGGAAAGGCATGAACTTGGACGCGGGGACATTTCCAGGGCCCCTCAAGGCACCCCACCTGCACCCCGAAATTCCTAAGAGACGGTGGGAAAGAAAGGGGCGATGTGGACATGAAAATGTGCACCACTGATTTATTTATACTAAAAAGTTACAAACAACCAAGACACCCTACAGTAGTGGGCTCCCTAAATAAATTAACGTTCATCCACTTGATAAGTTGTTAGGCAGCCCATTAAGGAGCAAAGCATGGAAGCAGGCAAAGTGCTCTGGCGATGCTCATTTACAAAAGGAGATACAGCACAGACTGATTGCAACTACATGTGAAAGTATGTACACACCATCAGGAAGGACAAAATAATGGCAGTAGTCACATAGGATGAGGAATATGGATTTTAAAAACTTAAAAACATTTTGAATATATTTTTCTGATGATATAAGTAAAGTATGGGCATAGAAGAACATGGGAATAGTAAAAGCTCTTAAGAAGCAAAAACTGTCAGGCTAATTTTTCTCTAAACTTTCCCTAATACAATGTTCTCTTTTACAGTTCATTTTTAAGGTATTGAAATATGCTTTCTCTGTTCAATTTCTTCCTAGCCTCTACTCCTGCAGCACCAAGGTTACGGTATGCTAATCTATGTTAATGAGTACCTGGGCACTCAAATTAAAATGTTAAAGAGAGGGAGCTGGTCTCACCTCTCAGCTCACAGGTGCATTTTAAGAGTTCATTGAATTGCCACAAAGGACACTTCCAATTGCTTCTTCAATCCGAAAGAGCAGTCCCAGCAGCAATTTTCAGGCAGATTGGATCTCCAGCTGCCTCCTGCCACAGGGCGAAGTTGGTGGACTCCTTTGTATATGAGCAGAGGTACCCTGAAGCCAGATCTTAAATCCAGAAGTCCAGACACTGATATCTGCATAAAGGGGGATAACTATCTCTCAGAGCTCACGATCAGGTCCCAGGCAGGTCCACTGTCTAACTAAGGGAGGACAGGATGGAAATATAAATGCACTTACTGCCAGTGAGTCTCCAGTGTTCTTTACTTCACACAGTCCTGCCGTTCTCCAGCTGGCAGTCAGTGGAGGTGGTGAACACAGCGGTAAAGGAGGGGCTAAACGATGTTGTGAATTCAAATTGTAACTTAGTTATTCTGCCAATGGCTATTTAGAAAACTGGCAAATTTAAAATGTTGGACAAACATCTGGATAGCATAAAAATGCCTTACCTTTATTTGGTATCATGAAGACACAGTCAACATGGGTGCTATAATTTTCTTGAAAAGGCCCTAGCTAATTTTCTGTTACAGAGTATCATTTTTTTCACCTCAGGACCAAACTCGTAGCATAGGTGAGACATGTGACATTTTGAAAACATGTTTGTCCATCTTCTAACTCTGCATCGTTTATTAAGTGCTGACTCTGTGTTAGGTGGTGTAGGAGGTGGTAGGGGTATGTCACAAGATACGTCACCTGAGCCTCAGACACCTTACAGCCAAACAGAGGGAACAGGTAAATAAGCAGGTACTGCAGTGCAGGTGATGGATGCAGAAGTGGAGGGTGTTTGGACTTAAGCAGGATGCAAAGGAGAAGGCAATTGCAAATAAGGGTAGGTCAGGCAAGGCTTCGCACTGTCAGCAATGGAAGATAAAATAGGTGGCTAGAAGGAATTGGAGATCATTTCAATAATCCAGGGGCAGTGAGGATGGGGGGACATATACTGGACGTTTAAACAGACACACTGGATTTGGATGTGGGATATGAGATACTAACTTCTAGTACCTAAATTGTATACCAATGTTTTTTTCTCTCTAAAATTGTTTGATGTATACTATTAAATTTGATTTTTAACATAGTTAATTGAAGTGTGTTGGATTTTCAAGATGAGATTTTATACAGGTGACTACACCTCTATTTCTCTATTCTATATCCCTCTGCAGCACCCATTTATTACATTGTCTTGGGATGGTTTGTTGACCCACCGGCCGTCCCCAAGGTACCCAGACTTTGAGCTTCTTAAGGGCATGGACCTGGTCTTATTCTAATGTTTACCCCTTGTGCCTAGAGCTGTATCTGGCATGTAGTATGGTCTCACTAAAAGTTTAAAGCTAACATCTTTATTTAGTTTTCAAAAGTTCAAAACAAAAGGAACAAATTGTATTTTAAGGAGGGAGTAGAGGGATAGGTGAGGATCATGGTAAATATTAACATTTCTTCCACGTTCTGCTGAAAGTCATCTTCAGATGTGAAATATAGGAAAATAACCAGAGTGAGGAGCTCTCTGTCCAACAGCATTTACGGGTAACACAGCAGGGCTCCCCTCTGCTTCCCTCCACCAGAAAACAGATGGTGTGGCTCTGACAGCCTGGAACTTAGCTGCCAGTGCAGCCCCTTCCAATGTCCCTTTCTGGGCTGCACATGTGACTGATTCGATGGGGTAGCTCCAGGCTTTCCTCCCCCACTCATGCATTGCTCTGTGTCCAGCTGTAGGCAGGGCTGACATGCTGACATGCGCTGTACCTGCATTGTCACTAAAATGTTGTATCTTCAACTAATGCAGTTGGTACAAGAGGAACAGACACCATGGGGGTGCTTGCAGTTTGTCACAGGGTGGTCAGGGAAGGCCTCTCTGAAGAGACGACACTTGACCAAAAACCTGAAGGAGGTGAGAGGTGAGCCTCACAGGTATCCGAGGGAGGCATGTTTGAGACAATGGAAACCAAAGCCCCTGGATAACTGCTCTGGTCACAGACTTTTATTCGAGTTGTGAGTGATCTGAATAGAAAGGTAGTAAAATGGAAAAAGGTACAAATTTAGAAGAGTTGACGTCTGCTTTGTTACTTAGCTCTGTGATCTTGGGCAAATCACATGGCCTCTCTGAACCTTAGCTTCCTCTTTGTAAATTGCCTAGTTCTCAGAGTTGTTGGGAATACCAAATGATGGTGTGCATACGAGCATGCAGGAAAACATGCAGGAAAACGTAGGGCATAATTATCAAACGTTGCATTCATTAGGATTGTGTTCAGTGATTCACACAAAAAGAGAGGTTTATTTTTCTCACCTCATAAGAATTCTGGCAGTCCATGGTTGCTGCAGCTACTCAAAGCCAACATTAAGACTCCAGGCTGCTGCTATAACTCCTTTCCACTGGCCTTAGTGTGTGGCTTTCAATGGCATGGCTGCGGGATGACTGCTGCATCTCCAGGGTTTACGCTGACATTCCAATCAGGAAGGAAGCACGTGTGGAGAAGGGAGGGAGTGGGCCTTTGTATTGGGAAAGCAAAGCTTCTCTGGAAATCTTCCGTGGACTTCCACCTACGTCTCATCGGTCAGCACTGTGTCAAATGACCATCCCCAGCAGCCAGGAACCCTGAGATTCTTTTTTAAGTTGGTAACATTGTTGCCACCAAACAAAATACATTAGCAAGGAAGAGGAGAGAAAATGCAAATTAGTTAGGCAACTAGCAATGTCCGCCACAAACACGTTGAAAAACCCAAATGACTACTATGGGTACCCCTTCACTGTTTTGACGCCAACTAAACGTTATGAGAAAAAATGTTCACAGCACTCTGACCAAAACAAGTCCCTGGATTGTCCAAGAAATAATACTATACTCAATCTTTCTGAAATACTATTAGATACTGGTGATTGTAACAGGACAGGAGCTGTAAGAACAACATACTACTTTTCCAAAAATTAGAAACTGCTTTTTGAGGGAAAAAGAGGGGCCTTAGGTGATTTTTCCTTCTTTTTTTCCAGGGTATTTTAGAGCGTCTGGATGGTGGAGAGGTCGTGGTTGGAGACGGCAGTTTTCTCATAACTCTGGAGAAGCGGGGCTATGTGAAGGCCGGGCTCTGGACTCCAGAGGCCGTGGTGGAGCATCCGAATGCAGGTCAGTGCCGGCATCCCCAGGACTGTTCATCTGGGTGGCATTTTCAGTACACCTGCCTGAGAGAAGATAAAAAAATAATAGCATGTGTTTCCTAAGGATTGTTTCACTTGTCAAAGTTGCCAAGAGGTGGAGACACTGACAGTACGTGGGCTGAACAAATAGAAGACAATGATTTCTCTGTCCTCTGCCCTCTGTGCACACATATTTGCATTGTCATATAGAGAGAGTGCTAAAGTACACATCTTAATATTTGTTTTTCATGAATATTTACCCTATGGATAGTCAAGGGTTTCCTTAAGCATAGTAAAACTGTTACTGCTTCAGATTCATCCTTCTAATTTGAATATTGTAACAGTGTTTTTGGTAATGATGATTGATGATAGCTACCAGCTAACAGAGCATAGACAATGGACAGCCAGGTTCTGTTGCCAAAGGAGGAGGGGCAAAGAAAGAAATGCAGTTTTCCTCATTCTACTTTGAGGGCTCTCCAGGGCCAACTCTAAGTACGCCAGCTAGATGCTTCAAGGCATGAGAAACTGAATAAGCCCTCCTAGACCCAGAAACCAAGAGCAATTGGTCAACCAACCTTAACCTCTGCATCAGACTTCACCAAGCTCTGAGGCCCATCAGCAGGATACTATGAGGCAACTCTGAACAGCCCTGATTTGGTACTGACCCTGCCGTCAGTACCAAACTGAATTTTACTAACCTTGAATTTTACTAACCTTAATTTGCAAGTTTTTAAATAAGCGATAGGTTTGAAATTGTGTATGATTGAGAGAATTGTGTGTGAGTGAGCTGCTACTGCTGAAAATAGTACCTTCTGTCATTTTTAATATTTTAATTTCAATGAAAAAAAACCTACTCTGTAGTTCGTCAGCTTCACATGGAATTCTTGAGAGCGGGATCCAATGTCATGCAGACTTTCACCTTTTCTGCCAGTGAAGAAAACATGGAGAGCAAGGTAAACAGTAAGGCCAGTTGGCTGGGTGGGGGCAGGATGGGGGGCAGGTGGGCAGGGATCATGTAACATAATAAGAATAACCTCTCAATGGAAAGCTATGGAATTGACCCTATGTGTTACTACCCTTTATTACAAGCTCCACATAAAATATCTAAGTAATTAATTATTATGTAGATGTATATTCACTAAATTAATGAGTTTGTGGTCTCTTTATCTAGGGGAAGGGAGGGCATAGGACTGGGAAAGTATAGGTCTTTGGAAGGGCATGGCCATTTTTCTGTGCTATTTTTTGATAGAGAAAGAACAGTTCATAGATGTTCTTTCTACCTTCTCATTTCACATTTGTCTTTTCTGACTTGTCCATCTGGAGATAGGGTGGTCCTAGGTCACACAGCACTGGCCTAGGAAAGAGGACGGTTGGATCAAATGCCCAACTTTGCCACCTATTGGCTGTGTGACTTTGTGCAAGACGCTTAACTGCAAGGAGCATTGGTTTTCTCCGCAAAATGGAGATAACTTCTGTGTAACTGCCAAGGGTTGTTGAGAAAGGTGAATATGGTGAAGGATGTGGAAATGTTGTAAGATATTTTACAAAAGTAAAGTGTTAGCACTTATTGAGTGTCTGTTATAGTACATTCCCTAACACTAGATACAAAGATCATACAAAAGCATAGACACTATTTTGAAGTGGCTCAAGGTCAAGTGTGGGAGGTAAAGAGATATACTAAGATCCCATGTGGTAAGTACAGTAACGGAAACACAAACACATTGGTAGTAGAAGAGATGGCACCCAACTCTGCTGGTCTTCTTGAATTACAATCAAAACCAGTGACTTCTACTTATTTTATGTGCTCATTTCCCCCTTTGTTCTTGATTATATTTTACCTTTAAAATGCCAAGCTCACCATCTTAATTCTTGCTCTCTAATCTCAGTGGGAAGATGTAAATGCTGCTGCCTGTGATCTCGCCAGAGAAGTGGCTGACAAAGGCGATGCCTTGGTGGCAGGGGGGATCTGCCAGACATCAATATATAAACAGCGCAAGGATGAAGCAAGAGTTAAAAAACTTTTTCAATTACAGCTCAAGGTTTTTGCCAAGAAAAATGTGGACTTCTTGATTGCAGAGGTAAGCCTAGTGTTATAGTGAGAGTGTTAAACCTAGTGACAAGTATAAATGAATAGTCTTCAACCATCCTGAGGGCATTGGGTTGCCTTATGACCTCATTTCCTTCATGAAGATGGTTAAAGGTTTGCTTAAATGCACTATAGTCCACCTGTATGCTAGGTTCTCTGTGAAGCCACAGAACAGACCCAGGAGAGGCCCAACTGTGGACTTTGGTTTTCTAAGGTCAGAGCAATTGCAGCAGCTGACTCTCAGGGGCATATACTATGGGGTCAAGAGAGAGGACAGTGATTCAGGGAGTGTCCTCCCCGAAGGGAGAGGCAGGACTAGAAGGAACCGTGTGTATGGGCTGGTGGCCATGAGGGAGCAGAGCTTGGGGGCAGGTGGCTGGCTGCTCAGGCTCCTCCAGGCCCCGCCAATAATCGTCAGTATAGGACCGAGTAGTTCCCTTGCCCTCCTCCACTCTTGCTCACTCTTGCCTCTCTGTTTGCACTCAAACTATAACATGTGAGCAATATTTTAAAGAAAGAAACAGTAAGAACTGGTCATTGACCAAACATGAAGGCCCAAAACACTCCTTTCCTCTGCCTCCCAAAATTAAAAGCCCTCTTTCACCATTTGCCTTTACAATTACCAGAGTCAAGTCCTCAGGTCTTCGCCTCAACAAGGACAATAGCCTACCAACTGCTGGTTTTCCAATCTCTGTTGAACCTGTTGAAAACCTTGCTTCTCCAGCCTTCCCAAGGCTCAGGGCCGCCTACAGCTGACCCAGCTGGGGACAGTCCTTAGCAGAGCAGAGCACAGGCTCCACCCCACACATTCCCCAGAAGATGGGAACACCAGTGTGCTTTTTAAGAACCTCTCTTTTGACTCCCCCTGTCATTCCTCACATACTCCTTCTGCAGAATCTGTTTCTAAGTCCAGATGGAAGAATCAGGGAGATTTCTGCTAGATTTTCTTCACGTAAGATCAGCTTTTCAATGGTGGGCCTTCAGGGGGCTCCTGAGAAGCACCCCTGCAGATGTCATAAACCCACCAGACCAGGTGTCCTGTCCGTCATTTGCAGAGAAATTCAGTAGCTATCCCTCCCCACTCTGGGCTTCAAAGTTCTCATCTGGGAACATGATATTTCCATCCCTACTTCATAGAACACCTATGAGTACTTAAACAGAAGTGAATATAAAAGCACTTGGAAGTAGTATAAAGCATAACAAACTATTCATTACCTCAGTTCCATGAAAGATGAGTCCTAAATGTATTAACTGTTGCTCCTTCAAATTATGATTTTAAATACTCAGTTACTTAAAAAACCTTTGTGTTTTTTAGATGATATATGAATGGAAATCTATATACAGAGTGTGGAAAGAGTAGGTTTACAGTTGTGTGAGAAACAAAGAGTTTATTATTGTATTACTACTTATTAATTATTGCATTATTTTCCATATGACCAATGGTAAGCCTATTTTCCCCCACCCTCTATTGCTAAAGGAATTAAAATATATACTCAGAAAGGTATCCTTTAGTCAGTCTGATAGAGACACATGCCCTCAAGTTTTATTACATATTATATACTGTTATTTTTATAACTGTTTTGCCACATTTGCATTCTGCCACTCAAAATCTGCTTCATATTTGAACCAATAGAAAAAAAATAAAATTTCTCTTAGTATTTTGAGCATGCTGAAGAAGCTGTGTGGGCTGTGGAAGTCTTAAAAGAATCCGGTAAACCTGTGGCAGCTACTATGTGCATAGGCCCAGAGGGAGACAAGCACGATGTCACGCCTGGAGAATGCGCTGTTAAGCTGGTGAAAGCAGGTCATTTGAACTCGGGGTATGATGCCCAGCTCAGTTGTTGTTTATGAAATTTAGCAATGCTTGCTATTGTCAGAGCAGTTCAGGAATGAAAGAATGAACTGGAATTCACTTCCTCATCTATAAAACTGGGGAGGTAGAGGGGGTTGGCTGACCTCTAAGACACCTTCTAACTATTAACAAATAAAATGAACTAATAAAAAAATAAAATGTAACAGTTCTTCATGTCTTTGCACAGGGGCTTCGATTGTTGGCGTGAACTGCCGGTTTGGGCCTGAGAGCAGCCTGGAGACCGTGAAGCTCATGAAGGAAGGCCTTCAGGTCGCAGGGTTGAGAGCGCACCTGATGGTGCAGCCCCTGGGGTTCCACACCCCCGACTGTGGCAAAGGGGGGTTTGTGGACCTCCCAGAATATCCCTTTGGTGAGCTCAGGCACGGATTAGATGTCCTTGTTATTTCTGAATGTGACAGAACAGAAAGAGCTATAATGAACAACTATGGTACAGTCATACAATTCAGGAATGTATAAGGCAAAAACATTACGTGTTAACCAAAAATGAGCCATCTGAAGAATGAACAATCTAAAATTTACAGTTTTTTAATCGAAGAAAAAAAGCTTATCAGAGCATCTATCATTTGAAAAGGGAGATGGTAACAAATGCCATAACTGTTGTGTTACAGGACTGGAGCCCAGAGTTGCAACCAGGTGGGATATTCAGAAATATGCCAGAGAGGCCTACAACCTGGGGGTCAGGTACATAGGCGGGTGCTGCGGATTCGAGCCCTACCACGTCAGGGCAATTGCGGAGGAGCTGGCCCCAGAAAGGGGCTTTTTGCCGCCGGCCTCAGAAAAGCATGGCAGCTGGGGAAGTGGTCTCAATATGCACACCAAACCATGGATTAGAGCCAGGTAGGAATTTTTAAATTAATAACACTATTTTCTCAAATTTCATTTTATTTATTAGTATAAATACTATGCATGCGTGTAATAATAAAAAAATTTAGAAAGTATAGAATTGTATAAAATGAAAAGTAAAAGTTGCTCCCCTCCTGACACCCTCCCCAGAGAAAACAAACTCAAATAAGTGAGAAGCAACTTATTTTAATTGTTACTGTCTAGGGAACCTTAAAGTGCAGTAGCCACTAAAGATAAAACATTACTCTCTAGAGTAAAGTCAGCCATTCTTTGAACCCTGAACTCCCAAACACTGATGTTTGCAGACACTATGATCACACAGAAACCTGTGTGCACCTGGTTTCTGACATGTTTACTGTTCCAACATATTGATTGGTTCATTGTTTTCGTAAGTAAAGGGGGGGAACTATAAAAATATATGTAACACACAGATCTGTGACAGGAAAGTTTGTACTTTTCTTTATTTGTCTAAAAACAAGAAACAAATATTGACAAAGCTATTTGTATCCTGTTTTTTTGTTATTTTTTGAAGAATGACACTTTGTCTCATTGCATTAAAAAGTCTTCATATACGTGTCATTACATTAAAATATTGTAAATATATTACATTAAAATATTGTAAATATATTACATTAAAATATTGTAAATATTCTAAAATAGAATAAAAAGAACCCTGCTAGAAATTTCAGAATGAATTTAAGACTATAAAACTCAAACCCAGTGTTTTTTTTTCTGACAGGTGATATGAAACCTAATGATTGTTACTGAGGATACAATTTGAGAAAAACCCCTGGCATGAATGAATATGGACAGTTATTCTGCCTGTGTGTTGAAACTGAAATGAGATACAAACCTTTAATGAATTAACTGTGTATTTTTAAAACACAGGGCTAGAAGAGAGTATTGGGAGAATCTGCTGCCAGCTTCCGGCAGACCTTTCTGTCCTTCGCTGTCAAAGCCAGACATCTAAGGAAAAAGGGAACAGAAAGAAATGCCCCCAAGGCACTTCTGGACCCCTTCCTCGCCTGAGCCCACCCTGAGGTTTCCAGCCACTCATGTGGGGCAGCGCCTTCGGTTAAATACAACATAGGAGCGTAGCACTCTTGCAGTGGTGGAGCACCCAGCTGGATGCTGCAGGGGATGCAACGACGATGAGAAAGGCTTCTTGTTCTCAAGTATTGCTGTCCAGTAATACTGTAGTACATTGTTTTCATAGTTAGCAACAATGGCAAACTTGTCTTGGGATAAATTAAAGATTAAAAAATAACCAGAAGTTACTGAGCACCAAGCTAGTGAGGAATTCAGGTAACTGAGCCAGGTGCTTGAGGAAGACGGGGTGGCATTCTGAACTGATGCACTGAGCCTGCTTTCCTTAAATGATTTGTATAATGATTCCAAAGGCATTTCCCAAAGAAAGAAGCAAAAACCATTTTTGAGCAATGGAAAGATTTTGAAATAAGTGTATAACCTTCCAAAGTGATTACTTTCAAAGATGATTTTACTTAAAGGTGTTAGGCACTAGAACTTTTATAATCACAAGTAACTAGATTTAGGGAAAAAGACAATGACAATGAGATAACATCTTATATTTTTCCTTATAGTATTTACCATTGTGCTAGGCATAATAATAGATGCTCAATGAAATGCTTATGGTTTAAAATAAGTAAAAACAAATAGTTTTAGAAGACCTTTTTAAAAGTCAATGTTCAAATCTATCTTGGTCTAATATTTTCTTGATTCATCTTTATGTTATTTTCTATGTACTGATTTCTCTCTATGTTTCAAAATAATGTACCAATTTGTGTCAGTTAATAAAAGTAAAAATAATTTACCTTTTATAGTGTTTGACTATTTAAAAATTTTTTGGATATTCTCTGAAATAATAATAACAAGCATTTATTACTTCTGTTCTAGGCTCCTGCTTTTCTTTCTCTCTCTCTCCCTGTGAGAGTGGATGCTCACACAATAACAGCTTGCTTAGTAGATAAAGATCTTGTGAAAGGGCAAAGGGCAAGAGCTAAGAGGCTACATCGGGAGGGGCGCCCTTCTTCACTCTGAACCCCTTCCTTGTGTCTGCAGTAGTACAGACTAAAACCTTCGTCCAGTGCCATACCATACAGTTCAGAGATGGTGTAACAAGTAAACATGAATTACATATGGTAGGTGATAAGGAAATGTTTTAAAATCTAGGTCCCTTGGCTCACAAAAAATGAAAATCATTGGAAGTCCATGTTAGCTGAGAGCAATTCATTTAGATTTTTAGAAAGAGTCAAGTCATTCATCAGCTTTTCAGATTGACAATTGTGATATATACCAAAAAATTAATTAAAATATGCTCTCTAGAATTTGTTAGTCATAGGATCGACATGAATTGAAAGATGTGAATAAGGAAATTAATAGGGAAAAATGAGTTTGGAGAAGATGCGCAGACTGAGAGTAACAAGATGGGACGTGACATGAAGATCAGCCAGAGCAATCACGCAGTGTGCGGCCGCGAAAGCTGCTCTAGAAGAGAATTTAACAACTGTATTGTGTGCTGCTTTGCTGTGCTAACTGTTGTCTGAGCATTATTGACTAGAAAAGTCATCCTAGACCTGTTAAACACGCTGGTTTCATTCTGGGTATAGTGAATGCAGTGCCCAGAATAGAATGTTGATGAGATGGAAATTGATAGAACTTCCAGACTCAAGCAGGTGTCCCATAAAGGAAATTCTTTAAGAGAAATATTTCCTACATTAAAAGGTCCCACAATTATATAGTGATTGGATCAAACGTCAGATCATAATAAAAACATATCAGGGAAACGTATTTCAAACCATATAGTTCTAACTCCAACTTTTTTAAATGCATACTAAAGTGTTAAATTCTTATTTATGATTTGCTTTAAATATATTAGTCTATTAAAATTGGAGTTATTTTTAAAGACAAAATTTCCTCAGGCTTTGATTTGGTTGGAAGAAATTAAGAAAAAGGTTATTGTTTATAAAAAGTGAAGAATGCTGAATGAAACTAAGAATTGGTTTGGACTAGCTCTTTCCAGTTCCACAGCAGATGTTTACTGTACTTGGGAGTTATCAAAAAACTAAATGTCCCTCTGATAAACCCTGCTGTGCCCTGCGTAGAATCAGCAGTGCCGACTAGTCGATAGCTGGCACAGAAACAATGTAAGGGGTCAAGAGACATGCTGAAACTAAGTTGTGAAGTTCAGCTGGAACAACAGTTCCTGCTTTGGGATGATCACAGCCATGATTTGATACCCTTATGCAAAGCCATTAGCAAAGTTAAGCAACTCATTCTGGCTGTACAGTCAGCTGATTTGAAGATGAGCACATATTTTGTTCAATCAATAATGAACATTCTGAAAAGAGCTTCAGAAGGGTGCAATTTTGCCCATCAGAGTTATTTTATCAAAGTCTTGAGCCAAGTGACCAGGACATGCTGACTGTGGCGTTGCTGGCACTCTGGCAGTCACATTTCATTTCATTCAAAATAGTAACATTGGAGAAGCCTCTTTCCATTCGACGATGACTACACGCCTTGAGGGCTCTGTGTGCTCATGCCAATTATATTCACTCACTCATTCATTTGTTCACTCACTCACTCATCCATTCATTATTCAAATAACATTTACTTAGTGATTGACCTATGATAGTCCCTGTACTCATCCTATGTGCTTCCACAGTACCCTAGATTTATCATGAATAAATACTATGTAGTTTTAATACTCCCTTGATCACTCTTATTTATTTACATGCCCCTGATGAGAGGGGGCAGAGAAAATATCTTAATTGTTGTATTTCCAGTACCTGGCACAATATAGAACTCAAAAAAGGTGTTTTTGGAGAAGACGTGGAGAAAAGGGAACTCTCATATACTGTTGGTGGGAATGTATATTGGGGCAGCCACTATGGAGTTCCCCCCAAAAGTAAGAATAGAACTACCATATGATCTAACTATACATGCTTCTGGATATATGTACCTCTGTGTTCACTGCAATATTATTCATAATAGACAAGATATGGAAACAGCCAAGTGTCCATAGACAGATGAATGGATTTAGAAATTGTGATATATATATATTGAAAACACTTTAGTAAAAATATTTTGGAAATTCACAAAAACTCCAGGAGTGCCAGAGTCAGGCCGATATCAATGAACAGCCCTCAAATCAGCTCAAGGGTGAACCTACGGTTGGCAGTAGGTCTGAGGACCCACACCCGTGCCTTGGCCAGAGCTTATGCCAGAATAGGGATTCCTACTTCATCACACTGCTTACTTCTCAGTCAGACTCTCAAGTTCATGTTTCTGATTAATAGGGCCTAAAGCACAGGCCCACTACATTCTGTCAGGAAAGTGAATTTGGGGGCTTCTACCTTGTGAGGGCAGGACTCCTGAAACAGGAACTTACACCAGAACACAAAAAATATTCAAAGCTTGGTAGGCAGCCAGACAACATGGTCACATTAACAAACAGAAATCAAATAATCAATTGACTACAAGTACCCGTATGAGGCTATCACATTAGAATTTATATGTGTGAAATATATCATATTTATTACATAATTAAAGTCATAAGCTGAGATTCTAAGTTAGAGATAATAACTGAAATAAAAACTAAAGAGAGGGAAAAGAATTTAAGTTTTCCAGAATCTTTAATGACCATGAAGATCTGATTTAAAATGGAGCATTTATTTATATTTAACTCATAGAAATGCTCGGTTTCTTTTCCCACATTTTCTTTCAGCCGGAATACTAAAACAGCAATATAACATTTTAGAGCCCTGGATGATTCTCTCTTCTGGTCCTACTCTATTTTTTGTTGAGGAAAGGAAACAGGCCCCAGCAGGTTTGGTGATTTACCCAAGGGGTCACTGTTGAAAAGAAATCATGTTGAAAGGCCCAAAAGTTTCATTGTTTTTTCAAGAGCCTCCCACAATACAGTCGGGAAGTAGGACTCTTTGATGGAGAGGGCCCAAGTCGGGGCTCCCTTCAACGTCCTGCCAGAAAGCCTACTTAGGCTTGCTGCGTTCTTCTGGGGAGATTTATTCCTGCCTCCTCCCAGTATGCAGTATCCTGAAGCCTCGGCCATGAAGAATGAGACAAATAAAACCAATTTCCACAGAGGCCATAATGCAGAAACTACTGCTCCCCCCGCCCCCCGCTGGTAAATCATGCAATTGAGACCACTTTCCCTACAAATTCTCTCCCTTTGTTGTGGCATTTCAGCATCCACTGGACAAATATTTACTGGAGGTCTACTTTGTGTCAGGCGCCAGTCTAGGCAGTGGCCAGCATTACTAACGTCAGTGCTTTAGGATTAATTTGTAGAGCATGGAAGCTTGCTCCATCAAATAAAGGTCTCTAAAATGTGGCAGAAAAACTATCACTGGGCGTCACCTTAAAATAGCAAGCAGTTACTAGAGTAAATAAATAGCCCTTGGAAAACATGTTTTGATTCTTTAAAAAAATACCTCAAGGAACAGAATAGAACATTTTAAAAAGGATATGATGGAGAAAATACATTTAATTAATTAATTAGCTCATTGATGTAACTAATGTACCTGTATCGGTATCACTTCTGAATGATGGGAGAGGAAGACTGAGAGAGGAGAGCAGCAAGAGCCTGGGTCATCTGAAGAACAAGTTAAAATTTTGTCCCTTGGTACTTTGTTTATACAGTAACAAGTGCCACAGGTCAAACTACATTTTATGTTGATGTAACCAAATGTTAGGGATTGGGGTAGAATAGTAAAGAAGGAAATTAGGTAAAGAGTTGGTGACCTATGTTCAAGTCCCAGTGGTTCCAGTAAAGATATCTGTGATCTTGACAAGTCACTAAATCACTCTAAGCTCCATCACCTTAAACACACACACACACACACACACACACACACACACACAAAAGAGTGAGGGAAAAGGGCAAACCATGGAAGGGTAAAAAATATTTGCAAATCTTGTATGTGATTAGGATTAATATCCAGAACATATAAAAAACTCCTACAACTCAACAACAACAAAAAGCAAACAACCTGATTTTAAAATGGTCAAAGGACTTGAATAGATATTTCTCCAAAGAAGGTATGCAAATTCCCAACCAGCATATGAAAAGATATTCGGCATTGCTAATCACTACGGAAATGCAAATCAAGATCACAACGAAATACCAGCTAACGCTGATTAGAAGTAGCCAGTGTTGGTGAGGACATGGTGAAACTGGGACCCTTGTGCACTTTTTGTGGGAATGTAAAATAGTATAGCCACTATGGAAAATAGTATGGCAGTTCCTTATAAAATTAAAATAAAACTATCACAGGATTCCACTCTTTGTGTATACTCAAAACAATTGAAAGCAGGGACTCAAACAGATATTTCTAAATCCATGTTTACAGCAGAATTCTTTTTAAAAAAATTTTAATTATTAGAGAGAGAAGAAGGGAGAGAGAAACAAACCCAGGCATTGCCCTGACCAGGAATCAAACTGGTGACCTTTTGCTTTACAGGATGACGCCCAACCAACTGAGCCACACCAGTCAGGGGTATAGCAGCATTATTCACAATAGCCAAAAAGCAGAAGCAACCCAAGTGTAAATCAATGGATGGATGGCTAAACCAAAAAAATATGGTATATACATACACTGAAATATATTCTGCCTATAGAAGGAATGACATTTTGACACAGTCTATGAACCTTGAAGACATTATGGTAAGTAAAATAATCCAGTCATATAAGAACAAAAACTGTATGGCTCCAGTTATATTGGGTACCCAGAGTAGCCAAATTCACAGAGACAGAACGTAGAGTGGTGATTGTCAGGAAACAGAGGAAGGGCACATGA